GAACATCTTCTTGAATAAGCAATCAAATAAGTACTTATGGAACATATTCTCAAATAAACACTTCTTGGACATATCTCGAAAATTATGAATGAATTTTGATTGTCAATTGAAACATTAATCAATCTAATATTATTTAGAATGCAGAAAATAAGTTAAACTAACTTCATTTTGACGAGAATTTTTTTTTGAAATTTATGAAAAATTTGCTGAAATGAGTGAAAATAAAAAAACGGTGTATTTCCAGGATAAAAATCAGTACAATCCGTACAATTTTAGGGTTAAAAATAAAAAATCCGTACAATCCGTACATTTTGGCCACCCTGGATTTTATGCTCTAGGGAAAAAAAAATTAAAATTCCCACAATTCAGCGACTAAACCCCTCAAAAAAGCATAAAATCTAGGAACAAACCCCAAAAAATGTAAACGAGGGGAGGATGACGTTTCAGGAAAATATACATCCCTGAAAACATTTAAGATCTTACCCTTGTCTGTGACAGCAAAGGATACAGCTGTACCGCAGGCAATATCTACACACTTCATATCCTTTAACTCTGCTACTGGTACAGGAACCTAAAATTAGTATTCTCTAAAGTAACACTCGACTCCTACAGGGTGTCCCACGACACACGATATTAGCAAGACGAATGTAAGGTCGTCTTAAACCGTTGAAATAATTTTCGGCAATTACTTGTAAACCTGATTTAAGTGAAATTCTCGAGTTTCTAAAATGGTTTCTGTCTTTTTTCTTCTTTCAATTTTACCGGAGGTTTGAAAAATTTCGTTCAGACTTCCGACTATTTTAGTTTTAATTAATAATAGTAAAATCTCAACGAAATTCCTAATAGAACAAAAAAGGCAGACGACCTTTTGGAAATGCCAGGACTAGGAGAATTTTGTGGTTATTGTTTCAAGAATCATGCATGTGAAAGTTGGTTGAAGAGGGAATGTAAATTCAAAGATGACTAAGACGACTGAAATATTAACTACATTAAAAAGCCCAAAATTGAATCCAACATATATTGATTGTATTATCTGAATGATTAGCTTTAAATTTAACGGTTTAAGTAGAATAACGCAATTAAGTGAATTTATATAGGGTCTAGGCTATTAGATAATAAAGCACTTAGTGTTTTTCAGGATTTACTCCTTATAGACGCAACAGCAGAATTCAATAAGGGATAACACTATACCTCCTTTCATTTTCGCGAACACTCCCTTTAAACAAATCCACAAAACATTTTTAATGAAAATATAGATAATAGCCTTACCTTGGCGTCTTCTGCCCCTTCTCCTAATCCCAACCTTCCATACTCAGATCTACACAAACAAAAATTAAGTTGCCCTATTTTCAAACTCTGTTCAAAAACCGAAAAATATATTTTAACTGGCTTTCAAGTTTCTTCGTTTAAAAGCCAAAAAATGCCACAAAATTAGACAGCACAGAAATGAGCACATGATGAATATCTTATTTTAAGACGTAACAAAGTCTGGGTAAATATATTTTTTAAGCCTTTAAGGGACTGCATCTGTATGCCTGATTCATAAGGTCCTACGACATCTGCTCTATTTCCATTTGCTCTATGGTCATTTGCTCTAGTTCCATTTGATCTATGAAGTCATTTGCTCTATACGTCATTTGCTCTATATTCAATCTGCTCTATACCTCATTTGCTCTATGACTAAACACGTCATTTGCTCTATAATCTAAAAATACACTATAAAATAGCTTTTATTGGAATTCCTAAGCGTAACTTGACTATGAAATGCGGGATTTTTTTGGGAAAATTCGCAAATTGCAGTTTTAATCAGCTCTTCAAAGTTCAACATGACAGAGAGACTGCTCAATAATAAGAGGGGTAAAAAAGCCTAATATGTGGTGAAAACTATATTTAGCTTGGTCTCACACTATGCACAAATACCAGACAAACAAAACTATCTCCAGGAAGTTGGCGGAATAATGAAACTGTAAGAAGAATTGTAAAATGTAAAATTATAGTTTTAATATGATTAGATACTTGTAAAATATGTTTATAGAGCAAATAACGTGTTTATTTATAGAGCAAATGTTGAGTAGAGCAATTTGACCATCACAGTCATAAAAATGTTTATAGAGCAAATGACGTGTTATGTCATAGATAAATTGACGTATAGAGCAGATGACATATAGAGCAAACGTCGTGATCTATGAGCTATAGAGCAAATGGTTAATAGAGCAAATGGAACTAGAGCAAATGACCATGGAGCAAATGGAATTAGAGCAGATGTCGTAGCGCCGATTCATAACAGTACCCTTTTGAGTTATCTTTTAATGTGGAAGCATGTAGTGGAAGTTTTAAATTTTCATCACTATTTCTAAAGCAAAAAGTGAAGAGAAACAACAATTGGAAGTACTCAATATAAATAACGTGGAGCTCTTTAATTCTTTATCAGACAAAGCTTTTAAGGTTTATGTTGTGAATCGGACATGCCACTCTTCAAATGGAACCATTTGACGGTTTACCTTCCAATAGCGTGAACTGCTCCTTGACTACTTGAAATGAGCAGAGTATGATGTTGGCCTAGAACTAGAGTATCCACCTTACTCGCGACCAAAGAATCAGATCTAACAATTTTCACATATTTTATTTTATTTTCTTTCTTTTCAACTTGTACCTGTGAAGATAAAAACCCCGAATAATTGGAAACAAGAAGAGTGGGGTTTCTCACTTAAAAAATCTTTTTATCCCAGATGTTGGAACTTTTCTGGGGTTTTGTTCGCTGAATTGGGGAAATATTTTATTTTCTATTTTTATGTCCAGTTTTAACCTTTTTCCCCACTCAGCGCATCATGATATATTGGAGTGGGTGGGGGAGGGGGTAATTCTTGAAAATATATATCCCTTGAAAACCCTTAATTATGATTATATTAGACCAAGGAGTAAGGCATCCTCCACACTCACGCCCAGCAAGGAGTGGTACTGTCACAATGGATAAAAATGCAAGAATTAAACATTAATTGGGACGATAACGCCTTTATTTACTTACTGTTACACCAAAAAATTAACAATCTAATTTAATCTAATTATTGATCATTTTTTTTTAATTACCTCGTTGGCATGAAGAAGAGAAGTCCTGTATCTAACCCCATCTGATTATAATTGTTTAATCCCATCACGAGAATCTCATCCTAATCAATCAATCACTTTATCAATCAATCAATCAATCAATCACTTTATCAATCAATTCGTATTCCTAGGGATTCATATCCAGGAAAATAAAAGAAATGATGACCTAATGAGGGAATAAATCAAGGAATAAAAAAATCAAAGAAACAATTTAATGTTAAAAAAGGCTAGAAAGATTAACAACATGAATTACCAACAGAACAAAATTCCATCTAACCAACTGGAAAAAGAAATGAATAAAAATAAATAAAAAGCATACCGCTGTACTTCTAACAATAGTATTATAGCTTCCTGCCCAAACGTCCTTGAAAACTGTAGATCTAGCTTTAGCATGAATTTTATCCGGGGTCAGAAGATAATCCAGTCCTAATAATGATATTCATCATAAAAATAACATCAATAACAACAATAACATTCAAATCAAATCAGACTTTCATGAACGTCCTATTTCCATGACAGTAACCAATGACAGCGATAACAACAATGACAACAAATAACAATAATAATGTTAAGAAAAACAATAAAAAAATATTTGAAAAAATAAGAATAACAAGAAATAACAATATCACCATTTTAACTTTAATCATGATAACAATAACACTTTATTCATAATAACAATAACAAGAAATAACAATAATAACGCAATAACCATAACAACAAAAACAATAACCACATGTTTAAAGGAACCAAAGCAGTAATATCAACTGACAAATCTGTTTCCTTTTTAGCTCTTTCTAAAGATATTTGCTCGTCAAAGTCACCAAGTTAAAAACAAACAGATACCACAGTAAAAATAATAAATTTTAAGCGCAGCGATAAAATTAAGGAAATCCTTTTCATCCTTGATCAGGATAGGGTTTCTAGGGTACTGTTAAGGATCGGACACACCAATATATGAACTGAGGGAGACATGACGCTACTTGAACAGTCCATTAAACATTACCTCGTCTGCCTCCTCTGTGTGAGAATCTCTCCGGAACTCGGCCCAATTGACCCTAAATCAAGGGGTTCTAATTTTATTGTTCAAAAAAGCATTCCCCCCACCCCCGTAAATCAGTAGTGAAGACCTAAACATAATTTTAGTGTTTGTATTGTTGTATTAGGAATATCAAAAATAGGAAAAAACTTGTTATAGAATGTCTAACTTTTAATTTTCTCTCAAATTTTCGGAAATAATTTTTATAATCCTCAAAATCTACTTCTTTCCCTAATACAATTTTAGGAAAATATACACTCCTGACTAATAAGGATATCGGGTCATTTTACAATTGACGAATTTAGACGAAAAATGCAAAATTGCAGGAATTAGTTTGAACTTGTACATTTAGTATAAACATAACATCCCATACAAAATATTTTTGATAAATGTATCCAGCTTTACCTGTTCTGCGTTTCCTAGCGTATATACATCTCCTGACACAGTTAGTGCAGCAATATGGTCGGACCCACTTGATATCTTCTTTATGGAGATCCCTTCCAGAATACGTAGCTGAATATATAGACGGATAAATTAAATAAATAAATAAATAAATAAAGAAAGAAAGAAAGAAATAAAGAAAAAAAGATAAAAAGAAAGAAAGAAATATGGTCGGACCCACTAGATATCTAGTTATGGAGATCCCTTCCAGAATACGTAGTTGAATATAGAGATGGATAAATAAAAGAAAGAAAGAAAGAATCTGAAAGATAGAAAAGCTTAAAAAAAGATGGATAAACGAAAGATAAGTTAGCATAGATAGAAACATAGGAAATATACGCAAGCTTGAAGACCCAAGCGCTGCCCACTGCTCAGGTTACTAATTGTTACTCCTGCCGTTTACCCGCACTTGGACGATTTAACCGGGAAACTAAATTTTCGCTTTGAAATCGACCCTCGCAACCTAGAATTAGATCGACCCCACCACTACTTTATACACATACATTTAAACAGTTTGTTTTTAATCTTTGTGAAGAAACAATCTCAAGGAATAATAATTGTCATAAAACATTTTTTTTAAAAGTGAATATTTGCAAATTATCCTTTTTCCATCTCATAATCTGAGTTCGTTTCCCTTATGTCCATTTGACAATCCAAATTTTTTTATTTTGTTGTGGTTTTAAACATCAAATATTTTTTATCGATTTTGATGGTTATTATATCGTTAGAACTGACGAGGTTCAACCCAGACCGAAATTTATTTTCAATAAATGGGGAACTAACATCTACTTTTTTTACTCTACAGAGGATTGGTCCATCACCATCACCGAATTTAAAAAATGCTAAAAGTTAAAGGCGTCGCTGTGAACTAGTCACTTAAAACTGACAGTCCCATTAAGAATATAGCAATAAATAGAAATATATAATTTACCGGAGTTTTCTGAATTCCATTTTTAGTTAGTCCAATAGGTCCAGAGCTATCCCTGAACACACAAGTTTATTTAAGTTTATTTTTGTGAATAAAAAAATCATTTTTTACGTTTTTGTTTTATTCACTGCATTGGGAAAAATTAATTGATTTCTTAGATAAAATAATTAAACAAGGGATGTAAATTAGAAGATCATGTAAAAATCCAAATAAAATATTTGTTTAAAACAAATTTACCATCAATTTAATTTTCACCCAAAGAAAATCTACTGTAATGTCATTGAAAAAAAAGTAAGGCTTCCCACCTCTCTCTAAAACTTTAAAAAAGAATATTCCATGAAAGTTAACCACCAGGTATTCACTAACCTGAATGTACCCCAAGCAAAAACCCTGCCATCCTCAGTCAGTGCCGCAGTATGAGAGTCACCCGCGCTCAATTGAACAATTTTACCATCCAGGCTCACCTCAAATGTTTAGTTTACCAGTAAAACATCATACAAATAAGTACATTTCATATTGATGCGGATCCGGGTTCGGAATCCGCCCTGAAAAAAGGTTGATCCGGATCTAGAGAGGACATTTTATAAAATTCTCATTTTTCAAGATGTATTTTCAGAGCAAAAAGTTTTGGTTGATATTTTGCCCCATGGATCCGGAGCCAGGAAGCCTAAGCACGGATGAAATTATTTTTCTAAAAAGATCGAATTTAAAATGGATATTTTACTTGTCAAAAATCTCATCTCCCGTATTATGAATTCACCGTATTATAATATCATTTGAAAACCTAACATAATTTAATTTACTGAAAGGTCAGATGAACTGATCTCTAGTTGGCAGTTTGACCGACTTCTCTGCAGTCAGCTGATTAAAACATATTTCGCTCTAATATATTAGTTTCAGTGCTCAAATCAGGGGTTTACAGGGTGGCCCACAAAGAATAGGATTTAAGAAAAGACAGTACGGAATTATAATGCCTGTCTCCTTAAATTTAGGTTTTCCTGTAACTGTAATTTTTTTTCTTTGTCCAAACTTTTAAAAACATTAAAAAGACTATATTTTCGGCAGAATACTTAATCGAACTTATGATAGTTTTAAAATGTCGTATTCTTCCGGTCGTCTTTGCAGTCCAATACTTTTCTACACATGAAACAATCCTTCTTATAAATTAATTAAAATCAAACCTTTCCTGGGATGAAGCACTCCTCTTCCTCCTCAACGACACGGCCTAGCGATCCCTCGTCGTTACACCCGAAGGTGTACACCTAATCAATCAATCAATCAATCAATCAATCAATGAACAAACTTAAAGTTAACTATTCGAGTATCAATTAATCTAATCAATCCAAAAAAACTGCTCGTGCAGACAGAACTAGGTCATTTGCATTCCCCATTCGAAAGTTAGCTTTGTCTGATTAAGTATGAAATAGACATCTATGTTTTTGTTTCTTTAAAATGTTAATTTAATTCGCGGGTTCTCTGCAAAAATGACTTGTGCATTTCTTGCTTATTAGAAGCAATGAAGAAATTATCAAACTTTAACACTTTTTGCGTAAGAAAAACTTTAGCATTACTAGCCTTAGAGTGCGCTATGTCGCGCCTATCTTCTAAATTAATTGTGAACATGTTCTCTTTGTGTACATCGTAAAACAAAACAAAAATAATTCGCGGATTTTCACAAAAAATTTNATATATACCTGGGCAGCAGAGTAGATACTAGCGGTAAGGTAGCTGATGGCCTTACCATAATAAAGATATATACCTGGGCAGCAGAGATACAAACAAACAAACAAACAGACAGACAAGAAAAAATTTATAGATAGAAGGTTTAAATGGTACCCTTGTAAATTGGGAACAGTCAATTTTGCATGGAGGGTTACTTCGAGGTTACGCGTGCACAGTCCCTTTAAAACTGTTGTTTCCACTCACCTCCCCAGTTTTGGTGAGAACTGCTGTGTGCATACCTCCAGCAACCACATCAACAGCATCCTGGTAAATGAGCATGTTAAAAATAGAACAGGGGAAGGAATAAAATATAACCCCCGTTCCCTTCAGAAATTAGTATTTCGAGTATTACTCGCGAAGCGCTATAATTGATAATGAATACTGGCTTCTCGATTAGCAAAATTTGATCCAAGCAAAACACGAATATATTGAATCTCTTGAGTATATGGGGAGAGAACAAAATGTAAAATAAGAAACAATCAATTATCAGTGTTTTATCTAAAATTCGTAACACTGAAAATACGATAATGCCAATAAACCTGTACGCAATTTAAACTAACATTCAGGGTAAAGGAAATTTTGAAAATTCCACGGTTTTCTTTCAACAATTCTGATTTCGGTTTTGAGATCAAAAGTTTTTCCTGTGTGGATTTTATTTTTCCCTTTGGATTCGGATCCAGAGTCAAAATGTTTCGGATCATATACACTAATATCTTGCTATTGCGAAAGGGGGCATGGAATAAAAAAAAATCTCCTATTCTCTGAAGATTGCTGACCTGTATCGAGGAAACATGAGCAGGTTTATTTCTCTCCAGGATATCCTCGCCTAAACCAAGCTGACCGGTGTCTCCCTAAACATTCAGATAGAATTAATTCGTAATTTACGTCACAACTTTTCTACTTCAATGGATAATAAAATTTAAGGGGTACAATATTCAGAATTGACCCCCCCCCCCTGAAGATGTGAGGTCGAAAAAGTAAAGGCAAGGTTTTTCATCCTTTGATACGTTTCCCTTAACAATTATTTATTTTCCAGTTTCTCCCATTTCAGCGAATAAAACCCGTAAAAAAAAACAAGTAACCCAAAATAATTTCAAAAAGGGAATAATTTATTAAGAAAATATACACCCCTGTTATCTCTAGGTGGATTTCCTACATTTTCTCGGATTTAACCTAATATCCTTAGTGTTACGCAAATTATAGAAAATAACATATAAATATTATTTATTTCGCCATTTGAAAACTTTCCCGAAATTGAAAATTCGCCGATAAGAACAGGAAAATCTGTGTTAGGTCGTCAAAAGTATAGAAAATGTATTTGAAAACAAATCGTCGACGAATCACCTGTCCTAGTGTGAGAACGTGGCCGAATCCCCGATTATGACGAAAGTCCAATTTCAACTTTTTCACTGAGCCTTCAACAATAGATTGCCTTCCGCGTTTCCTAATAACAAGTTAAGTTAGAAGTTAGAAGTAAAGAAGTTAAAGACAGCACCACGTGAGTATTTTTTACATAACAATTCCTTAGTTAAGTTGGTTGACTTTTTATTGTAAAAGTTTAGTTTCCAGAAACAGCTAGTGTACAAGAAAATGTTTCTTCTGTACATAAATTTTGCTCATTAGTCTGTCAGCATCCGAAACCGTAAAAACGGACCGATCTGGTCCAAATTTGTTTGTGGCAACTCACAAGACCCTAGGGAAAGGTTTATGATGTATTATCATAAAAAAAAACTTGGCCCGTGTAATGACCACGACGTTCGTGATTAATGAAAATGCGCAAATTTTAAAAAGAAAAATCGGCGAAAAACGATTTTCAATCAAATACAGCAGCTTGAAGAGGAACAGTTTAAAAGTTTATGCTAAAAAAGGGAGCACGGAGCGCCCCGAAAACCTAGTTATATAACAACATAACAGTAGTTTAAATTACCTGGAAGGGGGAGCTTTGGCTTGAGTTTCCGCTTTTGAATCAACCTCCTGGGGAAAAATATTTTTCAAACATTGCCACTCCATTCAACATTTGTTAATCATTTTGAACACAGGACAAGATATAGTCAAACATTTTCAAGACCTTGTAATTTATAAAATTATTATTTTCTCGTTTAAATACTTTCAACAATCTGGATATTCAGTTTGAACTTCTACAATTTGATCAAGCAGAATTCTTGAATATATTAACAGGAAACACAACAATTGAGCAAAGAGCAATAAACATAGACCTACTTTAATCAAGCCACTAGTAATGCCTAATTTACTTTAAATAACATCCAACAACTCATAAGATAACATAATGTTGTCTTACTGTTTCACAGTACCAATGTACTTTCAATAATATCGAAAAGGGATGAACTATATGCATTATAAAAAGAAATTTTATAAGAACCAAATTATATGGGGGGGGGTCCAAAAATCGTATACTAGGAAATTACCATACAAAGTAAATATTTATTTTGAAACAAAAAATACTTTAAATCTATGTAAAGTACAAAATGATAGGAGAGGAGGAGGGGGTCCAAAAATCGTTCGCTAGGATTAGGAAAGACCCAACCTCAAAAATTGGATGACAATTGACAACGGTACCCTCTCAAATATATTACTGGGCAACATAGTAGAAAATGCGATTCAAAGAAACCACGACCTGTATATATCAATTTTCAATTAACAAGGATTTCACAAAAAGTTTTTTTTATTATTCAAATCTTTTTATTGATCAAAAAATACATAGTTAACAAAGTAAACGTTATATATATATCAAGAATACGTACATTTTGATTTTATTATTTTACATAGGGTATCATTTATTTATGTATAGATCATAAGTATTTGATAAATGACACAGTTTTCATGTATTAATTTTAAAGTAAAGTAAATTCAGTAAAGACAGTAAAGTAAAGTAAACTGGCAACATATAATGAGAGCTCGTAGGGATTGAGAAAAACATTTTCACTTTTTCAAATCAAAAAAAGGCCGATTTGCAACACGTAGCATAAGGCAGAATTTATGAAGATGATACGAAAAAATACGAAAATATAAAAATATTAAGAGAACAAGATGCGAATATCGTACAAGAATAAGAGAATAAGAGAATAAAGGAATAAGGCGATACACCATTAAGTAACCAATGGAATCTCGTCTTGAAATGTTAACGTCGAGAGGTGTTTTAAACCTGGGTATAAATAATAGAACACTATAGAACGAAAAAAATGTTTTCAATGAAAGACCTTTTTGTATATTTTCTGAAGCTAAAGCATTAGGTTGTAATATAAAGGTCGATTTAGAATATGTAGGAAGGAACAGAAACAGAAACTTTGACGTGGACCAGAATGAATTGCCAAAAATACAAAAATTGGAAAAATTGAAAGAAGATGAGGCGATTCACCAGTAAGTAACCACTATTATCTCGTTTTGAATTTCCAACGAAAAGTGTTTAAAACAAGATAGGTTAATTATGTGAGGACTAGTTATATGAGATCCATGTATTGACTTAAGCTGAGTTTAGTCTTTTACAGAAACATAAGATAGACCATTATTAAGGACGAGAAAGAGTATATTTACTAATGAAAGAAGACTAGAACCGCGTTTCACCAAATTAAATGTAGACAAAATATAAATAACATTTTTCAATTAGGATATTTGCTGTAGCAAGAGTTTTCATTTTCTAAATTCTTAGAAATTTCCTTTGACCAATTAATTCTGAAACCTTATATACAGTGTTTCACCATGAAAGAAAATTATGAAAAATATCGAAAGAAGACTAGAACGGCGTTTCACCAAATTAATTGGAGACAGAATATAAATTAACATAACAAAGGGCGCTTCACCGAAATATTAGCATGTGCATGTTAGAACTGCAGCTTTAACGCATAACCTGTGTAAACTTGCACTTTTTGGAATTTCACAAAAAGTATTATTCACATGGAGTCATTTGATGGTTCATTGGAATTCAATCCTCTGAAGATATACGGTCTTCGGAAAGGCGGAAATATCATTTATTTAAATTAAATCACAAAATATGGATTACTTCTTTGATGTAATTGAACATAATAAGGTGAAAAGAATAAACCTTCAATAAAAAAATATTAAACCGAGATCTGCACTGCTAACAGATTGCGTGAGAGCTGTGACCGGTTTGAAATTTGCGGCATTTTTTACAACGAGTTGCGCGGGGGATTTAAATTTTTGATGGGAACAAACTCATATTTGGATATGTCGTCGTAGTTTCAAATTTAAAGCCCGCCAAGGATACAGGAGATACAGAGATATATACAGGGTACGTCCCACATCATATTAGACCGAGAACGGGTCTAAATTACGATTTTCGGGACTAATTAGAAAATTTTATTAGAATGAATCATTTTAAAAAATAACATAAGTCTTATACAAGAATTTTCTTGCGGAAAATGAAAAGTTTTTCGAGTATTAAGGGTTTATTTTGGTGTTAAAGATTGGAGATAATCTAATATAATATGGGACGCTCTGTAAGTGTGTCCGAAAAAACATAATTGAAAATTTTTCTTTTCAAAGTAATTATCGTTTTTATTCATTTTTTTGTGTGTGGCAGATTATGGTTTCTATTCGGGTTCACACTTCGTTTTGATCGGGCAATATATTATCTGTCAATATTCAATCATTTCTTTGAGATCAATATATGGTTCCTCCCAAGGTTATAACGCAATGAAAGCTATTTCAGAGGTGTACGCATCTTTTGTACTGCAGTGCACTGTCTCTGGGCGTTAATGTAAACACAAGACGGATGTCTATTCTTGACATGGATCCATCTTACACATAGAAAATCAATGAAATATTCTAGTAATAGGAAACTAATATGTGAATTATCAAAACTTAAACTTTTAACCTCCTCGGATACTAAACGAACACTGATGCATCTATTCTTGTTTACAAATTCCGCCCAGAGAGAACAGGTTTCAATATGTACGCAGAGTATAAGCAACTGCAATTAACTTTCCTTGCACTATAACCTTGGTTCCTCCGATCCCACCTAACGATAATGTTCTAATTGGGTGCACGAACTTAAAGACTTAACAAGCTAGTAAAAACCCCAAACAATTGTTGTATAAATGGCCAGAAAATATATTCTCACTTTCTAGGATTAAAAATTTAGGGATTTAACTTACCCAAGCGTCCCATATCATATTAGATTATCTCATTATCTCAAAACGCGTTGACGCCAAAATAAGCACATTACTCAAAAACCCTGGCATTTTCTCTAAGAATTTTTAATTTTCTTATACAATATGAGCTGAAATGATTAATTTATTCTTTATTTTCTGACTTTCTTTTAAATCTTAATTTAAAGCTATAAACGATCTAGAATATGTTGGGACACTATATTTATAATAAAGTTGTTCTTTCTGCTATCTACCAGACCAATTTTTATAACGACGTTGTACACTTGAATTAATGCTGCAAATGAGGCCGGGATTTTCTAATTACGGATTTTTAATCACATGACTATGATAAATCGTTAATTGTTAGAATTGTAGATTTTATGTTACGTTGGACTAGCTGGACAGTGTTACAGTTGGTTTAATAAAATTAATATGGGAAGAGGTTCAAATCTGTGGAAATGGGCAACAGTTATTTAAGCTTTGTTCAAAAACTAAAATATTATGAATAGATAATATATAAAATGGACTAGGTTGAAGACGGAACGAATAAATCAAACAATTACTTATTTCATAATAAGTCTTTATATTGGTTTTATAAATTACTTTATTTGCATTTGCAATATCGAACATTAAATATATAAACTTTTTCTCGAATTTAGCTTAGATCCTGATAATTCGAAAAATCAAACAAAAAATCGTTTCAGGAGAAAAAGAAATTTTAACCTCACAATTTCGGTGCAAAAATTTCGAAGCTAGACTTAACTTTGAAAATAAAAATATATCAATCAGTGTTTATTTTAAGAAAGGTTGAGAGTACATTATTTAAACATCAAAAGTCACACGATAAATGGTAACCCCCCCCCCCTCCCCCCGTAGGAATTTTTAAAATGTTTTTCCGCATTTATCAAGAACAAATAAAAAAGTAAATGTATTAATCAGCTGAATAGTACTTGTAATCAGCTGAATAAAAGAATCAGCTGAATTGTTCTACTAATTATTTGATGTTCTATTAATCAGCAGTTGATCTAGTAATCAGCTGCATTGTTCTACTAATTAGTTGATGTTCTATTAATCAGCAATTGATCTAGTAATCAGCTGAATTGTTCTACTAATTAGTTGAGGTTCTATTACTCAGCAGTTGATCTAGTAATCAGCTAATTTTCTAGTAATCAACAGTTCTAGTATCGTCCTCCCCGCTCCCTACTCCTGCTTCTGCTCCTATCTTCCTCTTTAACCCTGCTGGATCTATCTCTGCTACTCCTGTCTCTGCTACTGCTGCGCCTCCTGAATGAAAATAAAAGTTTAGTGACTTGACTGAAAAATTTCCAGCGACCCTCAAGATAGCAATTCCCGATTGACAACAGTACGCTTGAAATCTCTATATGAAAATAAGATTGTTTTTCTAGATCTAAAAGTTTATAATTCTGTGTCCTCCTGCAACAGAAATGCGCAAGTCACTTTTAAACATCATTAGTTATTTTAAATTATAAACCTTGATATATAATTCATAATTGATCAGACAAATTTTTTAAAGATTCAGTTGTGAATCAGGCATTGTCATTATTGCAACGATTACTACTAGAAAGTACCTACACAGACCCTTTAATTTATTAACCAAATATTTTATCTCGATTTTCTTTTTAAAATATCTAATATCTAATTAGAACGCTTATTGCTTATACATTAATCTATCAATTTACTTCTAAATCGTAAATTCTATTTAAACTGAATCATGGACATTTCGTATTTGGCCTTTTATTATCAAATTTTCATATCACATATTGTTAAATCATATTTTTTGTTTAATTAAATAGTCTCATCCTTAACCTTACCTGTCTCCACTCCTATCCCTAACCTAACCTGTCTCTACTCCTATCCCTAAACTACCCTTGTCTCTACTCCTATCCCTAAACTACCCTGTCTCTACTCCTATCCCTAAACTACCCTTGTCTCTACTCCTATCCCTAAACTACCCTGTCTCTACTCCTATCCCTTAACTACCCTGTCTCTACTCCTATCCCTAAACTACCTGCCTCTACTCCTATCCCTAAACTACCTGTCTCTACTCCTATCCCTAACCTAACCTGTCTCTACTCCTATCCCTAAACTAACCTGTCTCTACTCCTATCCCTAAACTAACCTGTCTCTACTCCTATCCCTAAACTAACCTGTCTCTNCCCCCTTATCAGCCTCGCCATAGTGAAATTATAAAAAAATCTGGTATTTTAAGGTCCGAAGATTTCTAAAAAAAAACTTTATAAAACCCCAGTGAAATACTATGATTTATACTTTAAGATCTACAAGATCGCCTCTGGTCCTCTCGGCTCCGCCTCCCTTCATACTCCGCCCATATAGCTCGTGGCGGAGCTTTCGGCTGATCGGCTTCAAGTGCATAAAGTTACAGAAACCGGACCTAAAGAACTCAACTTACATAATGAAATATACGATTCACAGCGGTACCTTGACACCACAGTCAATCATGAACATTTTAGATATCCATGATTTACTTGTTTTCAGCTATACAAATGAGGGCATACCTCATTGTTGACCGGACAGAGGTGTAAAGGGTACCGTAGTTAAATTTTGCTTTCAGTCCCTTTAAAAGTAACAGTAAAATCTACAGAAAAACTCCTCAACAACTACAAACACTGCTTGAAAATTGATCAAGACAAGAAGTAACAGACAATAAACAAATTTGTCAATTTACAACTGACTGCCCTACCTTGTACATTCTCCTGTCTCGTATTGTCTGCAGCAGGCCTCCCTGAAATCCGTGACCGGGGTCAGCTCAGCATAGATGGGTCGACCGCCAAACCTGGGACGAAAGGTCAAAATTAGAAAATAGTTTGAATATAATTTGAAATTGATTTAAAACTAGCTTAAAAGGTCCAAACTAAAAACGGTCTAATTTCAAAAAAGGTCAAAACACTAACATGTCTCTACTCCTATCCCTAACAAACCCTGGCATTTTCTCNTAGAAAAGGTAAAAGCTAGAAAAATGTCAAAACTATAAGAGGTCTTAACTAGAAAAGGTAAAAGCTAGAAAAATGTCATACGAGTCAACAATCTGAGGAAATCTTTTTTTAATGATGTTTTTACAAGATTACAAGAGATTTACAAGATTTACAAGAGAACCCTTTGAACATGAATTTACTGCCGCAAGCCGTTTATTTTTTTTTTTTTTTTTTTTTTTTTTGCGAGGATTGGGGATGGAATTCCAATGAATCGATTAAATTTAGTCATATTTTTTCCCTAGTAAAGAATATTTTATCCCTGGTAAGTGATATTTTATGTGACTGGTTAATCTTATTAAACCCCAGGTTAATTATAAAATACCCCTGGTAAATTGAATTATACTCCTGGTAAATAATATTATACCCCTGGTGAATCATACCATACCCCAGGTGAATCAAATTATGCCCCGGGTGAATCATATTATACCTGGGAATTAAATTATACCCCTGGTGAATTAACATACCCTGGTGAATTAACATACCCCTGGTGAATTAACATATACCCCTGGTGAATTAACATATACCCCTGGTGAATCAAATTATATCCCGGGTGAATCAAATTATACCCCGGGTGAATCAAATTATACCCCTGTTTCTCCTGCGGTTGGAGGTCAGAAGGGCAACAGTGAACTCTGATATTATAAGCATTAAATAAGGATAAGTATGGAACTTTATATTTCAATACTATATTCAAACTAATTTTTTTTTCTTCATTAATTGGACCAAAAATGAGTCAAAAAAAATAATATTCATCTAACTTTGAAAAATAAAATTCATTTAATTTTTCTCATAGACTAAAAAATATTCTTATTTTGTGAAAAAATTAGAAGCACATTCAACATTTTTTTTTAATGTTCAATTGATCGTACCATCTATTGTTGAGGTCATTGACTGCCTTCTCGGCATCCTCCTCCCTCTTAAACTTGACGTACACATTTCCAACCAGGTGGTCACCCAGGTTGTCACAGACATTCATCTCTTCAACCTACACGTGTATTTGTAAAAAAAAGGCATGTATGATTCACAACGGAACCCTCTCCGTGCTAGTGTACACTCGCGCGGTTTCTTGACACCTAATTTTCCGCTAAATAAATAAGAATATCTATGAAATCCTTGATCAAGGTTAAAAGGGTATCTTTGTAAATCGGACAGCCACTCTATTAATGAAGGTCAATTGAAACTACGCTTACAGTCCCTTTAAAAATAATTTTAAAAAATTCAAATCCAATTTCAAATCCAATTTCAAATTCAGTTCGTATCAATTTCATGTATCAATTTCATATCAGTTTCAATTTCATATCCATTTCAATTTCATATCAATTTCATATCCATTTCAATTTCATATCCATTTCAATTTCATTTCAATTTCATATCAATTTCATATTAATTTCAATTTCATATCAATTTCATTTCAATTTCATATCAATTTCGATTTCATCTCAATTTCATATCCATTTCAATTCCATATCAATTTCATTTCAAGTTCATATGAATTTCAATTTCATATCAATTTCATTTTCATATAAATTTCAATTTCATATCAATTTCATTTTCATATCAATTTCATATGAATTTCATATGAATTTCATATGAATTTCATATGAATTTCATATGAATTTCATATGAATTTCATATCAATTTCATATCAATTTCATATCAATTTCATATCAATTTCATATCAATTTCAAATCATATAACTTATCTAAATTAATTTTTGTATTCATTATTTTGAATTTAATACATCAGTTATATTCAACGGTGGTGTTAAGCTGTTTCATATGAATTTCATATGAATTTCATATGAATTTCATATGAATTTCATATGAATTTCATATGAATTTCATATGAATTTCATATGAATTTCATATGAATTTCATATCAATTTCAAATCAATTTCATATCAATTTCATATCAATTTCATATCAATTTCATATCAATTTCATATCAATTTCATATCAATTTCCTATCAATTTCATTTCAATTTCATATCAATTTCAATTTCCTATCAATTTCATGTCAATTTCATGTCAATTTCATGTCAATTTCATGTCAATTTCATGTCAATTTCATGTCAATTTCATGTCAATTTCATGCCAATTTCATGTCAATTTCATGTCAATTTCATGTCAATTTCATGTCAATTTCATATCAATTTCATATCAATTTCTTATTAATTTCATAAAAATTTCATGTCAATTTCATATCAATTTCTTATTAATTTCATATAAATTTCATATCAATTTCATATCAATTTCATATCAATTTCATATCAATTTCATATCAATTTCATATCAATTTCATATCAATTTCATATCAATTTCAAATCAATTTCAAATCATATAACTTATCTAAATTAATTTTTGTATTCATTATTTTGAATTTAATACATCAGTTATATTCAACGGTGGTGTTAAGCTGATCAAATGAGCTAATTTTAAAAATCATCTGTCAATAAACCGCCAAGCCGTATTAACAAAGATTCCAATTCGTCCTGAAAACTACCAAACCGGCTCTCTTGAAAAGTACTAATCCGTCCTTAATTAACGACTTATTAGTCCTAAAAATCTACAAACCTGTCCGTATTTGTCCTCGCACTCGACAAAAACGTCCTCAAAGAAGTTGTCATAATGCTCCTGCATCTCTTCGTCTGTCACATTAGACAAATGAGAACCATCAGCTGTCTAAAACAGATAATATAAACATGACAGATATGGTATAATGGAATAAATCGGAACTCTGTCAGCTGTCTTGTAAAGATACAGATGAGAGCCTTTAGCTGTAAAGAATACATTTTTGACAGACGGGAGGAGCAGTCATCTGTCTGAACTAGAAAGATGGATAAACTTCAGAATGGAGCTGTCAGCTGTCCAGTGGTGAAACATGGGACATCAAATTTTTCATTCTCTTTGATACTTTTCCCCAAAAATCACTTATTTCCCCCCAAAAATCATTTATTTTCTCCTATTCAGTGAAAAACCTCTAAACAAACTTGTAACTTCTGGGGAAAATAAATGACTTTTTAAAAGGGGGGAATGATTAATTAAGAAAATATACACCCCTGCAGCTGTCCGGAGCCCAGTCTTTGTTAACCCTATTCAGACTGACGTCTGGTTTACCCAAAATACAAGTCGACAACATTTGATACATTTTTGGAAAGCCCTTGGGCTCTACTTTAATAATATGCAAAATAATTTGCAAAATTGCAAAATATCCAATATTCCTTTCTTTAATAAGCTGAAGAAGTGCAACCTAGAAAAAAGCGGGGAAAGGTTATAGGAAAAATAAAGGGGAAGATAGGGAAGGGGATGACATGGATAAGAATGAAAGGGGATAGAAGGAGAAGTGTTTGTTATGAATCCTAAAACATCAAAATCAATGAACTTAAATTGTCATAAATTGTTGAAACAAAACATGTGAGTCAAAAAAAGTGTGATTTGATTCCAATTGTTTTTGGTTCTCCAATGGGCCAAAAGAAAATCGTCGAACCTTTTCTTCACTCAAAATCAGAAGTTCAGAAAAGCAAAAACGAGTATATAAATTATTTCTATCGAAATCAAAAATTTTATTAAGATTGAATCAAAGAATCGCCTAAAATTCGCAAAATTGTAATAAAAATCCGCAATTTTTAGGTTTGGCGTAATTTTTACGGAGAAGTTGTTTAAATTCTCTTGTTCCTTTCTTTATAGTATATTAAGTATTAAATATACGCTTTTCAGTTCAAACCTTATGAACCATTGAAAAACAATTTTTCCGTAAAAATCATACCAATTTAAAATTAAACGGCTGGACCGAACCGGATTTAATTTATGAGTAAAGTCGGCTAAAAAATCATAAATTTTTTTCAGATATTTTTTATTCACGGGCAACGTCGGAAATTATATTCCATATTATTGCTTACCTTGAACATCTTTCCCCGTGCGTACACGCACCCATCTTGAAGAAGAAGGAGCAATTAACCTTGTCCTTCTCCGTTCCAAATATACTTGCTAGATATTCAGCCATTTTTATATTTTAGTCCACACCTGAAATATTAGAATTTGTAATAGAAATGAAAAATATTAACAAAGCTTTAATTAAAACAAACAAGGATAGTAGTTGTTCTTGAGCACTCTATCTTAATAAACTGTTATCTTTTTAAATGAATTAACAATTTAATTGAAATCTTTTTAAAAGATCTTCAAAGAAAAGTGTTTAGGTATATTCCTAGAGAACGATTTTTGGACCCCCCCCCCCTCCTAACAATTTTTTACATGGTTCTGACAGGCAGCAGCGCTCGGCCCAGAAAGTGTCTTAACTAACCTAACCCGTGGCCGCAGCGCTCGGCCAAGAAAGTGTCTTAACCTAACCTAACCCTAAATAACAAACAAAAAAATAATAATAAATTTGCTGAAAAATAAATGGTCATGTACAAAATTGATAGGAGGGGGGGGGGGGGGGGGGGTCCAAAAATCGTATACTAGGACAGACCCAGTGTTTAACTGTTTCAGGTCTTTTTCAATTGACGTAAGAATGTAATAAAGTTTTTCCAAAAAGAAAATTCTATCCTTATTGTAATGACAACACGCAGACGGAATTTTCTGGAAGATGTTAGGACTGCCGGCTGAATCAGTAGTTTATTAAGGACCAGGGATGTTTTAAATATTTTTGGGATAATTAAACAAACTTATCTCATCAATATATTATTATGAAATAATTGGACCCAAAAATATTGTTGTTTTTGTGAAGTATAATTAGTTTTTGTACGTACTTATTGCGCGAAATTCAAATTTTTAAATGTCGTCTTTGGATAAAAATCATTCTACCTGCCAACAATTGCCCGGTTCATAGAACAAGCTGTAACTTGCTGTAACTACGACTATGATTTCCAGACATAGCTCTGAGCTCTGATCTCAAAATTGGATCACACCTCGTTCATTAGTCTCAAGTCATAGCATTTGATAGCTGTGACTTCGAGTCGCAGCTAAGCTGTAATCCAAGCTGCGAAGTCATGGCAATTTGACAGCTTAAATTGAAATCTTACTGGGCATTTGCACAAAAAGCGATCTCTTTAATAAAGTCGTCTTTTAAAAAAGGACAAAATTTTACCAAAAAAATCTGTATTACAAAATTTCAAGATACTAAATTCTGAAAATTTCATCATATTTTGTTGACAAATTTGTCTAAACAAAGAGTAAAGTTCTTAAAAAGTAAATTTCATGTCTACTTATTACTAAAATTTATTCATAAAAAAGCGAAAGCAATTCCAAGATAATTGTTGATAAACAATTCTATAAAACAAAGCTACTTTCTCCCCGAACTTTGATTCTACAAAAAAAAAAAATATTATGCAAATGTTCAGGATACTATAATAGATCGACTATTGTAAATTTAATCAAATTGGTCCCGTTTTAATTAAGTAGAAATGACGATTGTAAATGGAAGATCCTTCCCGCGGAAGACTGAATTGGGATGTTCGGAAGATCCGATCTTGGGACGCGCATCTGCCGCAAATAGGTATAATGAGGTTCAGAAGCTGTGCGGGGGAGGTTGTCTTCCCTCCCTCGTCAGGGGTTAATTTATGTACCGAAAACGACGCTCGAATGTCAGCTTAACGGGTTAATTTAAAAATACTTAAAACATGGGGGTATTTTTTTTAATTTATAAAGAGAATAGTTCAGTTAAATGAATATTTCTTCAAAAGGATCTTAGTCCTTATCCTTTTGAACGTAAGTCAGAATGAACATTAGTCCAAACGACCAATAGTCCAATTGATATGACCCCAAGTACCAAGCGCAGAAGACGACATAGTGTAGGATTATTTTCCTCCATATTAACCCAAAATTTTAGGGAAGATATTAAAGCCCTAAAAATTTTTAATGAATATATTTTGATCAGATAAATATTTTGAATTGAATAAAAAAGCGAATATCAAAAGACAGGTGTTTTTTTTTCTGGCGGAGGTCATAAAGAAATTAAAGAATGCCCCGTAGTATTTTGTCAATAATCTGAAAAATCAGCTGCTTCCAGCGATTCTAGCAAGGCAGCCGGCTATCACAGCAGCCAGTAACTTCGTACCGTTAATTTTAATCTTGTCAGTGCAATAATTCTGCAAAACCCCTCAATTGGCTGAAATAAAAAACTTCAAGGAAATTATAAAGAGATATGATTTTCCTTTAAAATTTCTTTAAAACCATTTTCCTTTCTCCGGATGCCGATGTTTGTACTTTGTAGTGTTATTTTTCTGGATATTTGTACTTGTCGTTTAATAATCCGACAGAATGTATATGCTAGCTTCAAAGTCAATCGTGAGGTTTATGTATTTATATTTTAGCATATTACATATTATTTAAGGTGCATCTGATATGTTTTCTTTGGTCTGTCCTTGTATACGATTTTTGGAATGAGATCAAGCATTGATCTTGATATTCACATTATCAGAGTTTACAGCTCTGTACAGTGTTTTTGGTCTTTTTTTTGGAGATGAACATTTCCCAGATTATTATTTTTATTCAGAATAAATGTAAGATGTTGGAACCATACAGACAAGTTCTGAACAGTACCCGGATAGTGCTAGCCAGTGCATCTCCGCGTAGAAAAGAGATTCTAGAGAAATTAAACCTGGATATAGAGATACTTCCGTCCATACTTCCGGAGGATTTAAGTAAAGAAGAATATGGAACTAAACCTCACGAGTTTGCCGTGAAAACTGCTGAGGTGAAGTCGGAAAGTGTGTTTGAAAGAATAAAAGCGGAGAACTCTAAAAACCTTCTTGTTATCGGCTGTGACACCGTGGTCTCCCTACATGAAACAATTTTTGGTAAACCGACTTCGGTAGAAAACGCGGAGTCCGTTCTGAGCAAACTAAGCGGTCGGAGTCATGATGTGTACACAGGAGTACATCTGATTCTACACACTGACCAGGCTGTACATAAAACAAGTTTCTTTGAGAAGACCGAGGTTGAATTTATGGACATGGATTCGGAGATTATCCAAGCTTATGTACGAACAGGAGAGCCTATGGATAAGGCCGGAGGATATGGGATCCAAGGTTTAGGAGGAACCCTAGTGAAAGGAATCAAAGGGGATTACTACAACGTGATGGGATTCCCACTCCATGTTTTCTGTGTTCATCTTCTAATGCTACTTAAGAATATAGAAAATAGCTAATTGATAATCTAACGTTCTATTTATATGTGACCCGTCATTAAAATTATCGTGCAGACCATAGTCTCTGTTACTCTGATGTTATTTTTTGTTTTGAATTGGTTGGATTAGATTTTTCTATTTTCAGAATTTGGAAAATGTCTCGAGAAGGTTTCCCTGGTGGGTGCAATCCAGCAGATGTTCTTTACAAGCTTGCACACAGTCGTGGGATCAAAGCACCAATCTTCGAAATGGTAAAATAACGTCACATAGAGAGCGGTTGCAAAAGAGAACCAGCAAAAATAATGAAAAATAATAATTTTTATTATTCTTTGCATAATTATTGATAATAATTTTTTTGTTTTTATGTAAAACCCTGCAAATTTTGAACTTTTCTCCAAATTTCATATTTTTATTTTTAATAATTGCCCCACAAAATATAATATTTTTATTAAAATATTTTTATTTTTGTAGATTTCTGAGCAAGGTCCTCCTCATGCTAGAACTTTCTCCTGGACCTGTTCCTTCTACGAGGTTAGTCAATCAGGGGCGTAAACAGGGAACAAAAGAATGAAAATTTTTTTTAACCCCTCCCCCCAGGGGGGGGATGGGAATTCTGAAAATAGACACCCTTTTAATTAAAATAATTTAGGGAAAATATCAAGCTATGGCAGCTGGTCGGAGTAAGAAGGAGGCTAGGTACAAACCTTATTTTTTATACTTAAGATGTAAATTTTTTTCGAATTTTGTTCTAATTGTTTGCTAAACCCCGTTTGTCTTTAAAACTAGGGGTTTTAGATTTGATATCCATTACTCAATAGATAGTTATAATTTGGATAGGTTCAATTCGATTCAGTTATAATTGATTTTAAAGTATTTTTTATTTATCTTTAAGTTATAATTTGATTGATTGATCAGGAACGCTGTGGCTAAAGCTTTAATTGATCAGATTGATCTAGAACAACTCCCAGTCAAACCTAAAGGTAAAGCAAAACTCCTGAAAAAAGATTAAAGCAATGCTACATGTAGAGATTAAAGCAATGCTACATGTAGAGATTAAAACCATTAAGAAATTTTAAAATTTTTCAATACAAAGCCACCCCTACCCCCTAATTATAAAAAAAAACTTGACACAAAAGAAAATTCCATTCTTACTCATCTTTTTTTGACGAAAACGTAGTTGTAAACTTATTGTGTCACAAAGTACAGTAGATCATTTCTTTAATATTTCAGCAAGTATGAACGGCAGAAATGGTAATGCTCCCCTCAAGAGAAAAATGTAAGTGATAAAACATTGTCATATTTTGGGTCAGGCTTTCTGACTTGCCGATTGAAAAATTAAAAAATCTGCCAATTTTGTTTTGAAAAAATCCGCCAATTTAAAAAGAAAATCTGACAGTTTTTTAGGAAGATCTACCAAATAAAAGAAAATCTGCCAATTTTTAGCTGAGATGAAATAGTGATAAGGTCAATTCTTATGAAAATCTGATTTGTTTGTCCAGGGAAGAGGTGGAAGAGGGAGGAGAAAAGAAAAAGAATAAGAACAAGAAGAAGCGAGGACCTGCAGATTTTGGGAATGATATGCCCTTCCCGATCGGGTTTGGTATGGCCATGGGAATGCCAATGGGCATGCCAATGGGTATGCCGATGGGAATGCCAGGGGGAATGCCAGGGGGAATGCCAGGAGGTCCAATGGGAAATAGGTAACATTTTGTGTTGATAACAAAGATTTAGTTTCCGTGTTCATTGGCAAGTATGAATACGTCAAAAGTTCATTTAAAAAGCTAAATTTTAATATTTAGGTTCCCAGTTGGTGGTGGAAGAGGTAGAATGAATATGAGAATGAACAAAGATGTAAGATTTTTATATTTACTTTTACTCATTTTGGTCATTTTCTTCATAAAAGAGAGATCTATTTTTTTCCCAAGTGAATTTAGATGTGGAATTGGAATCATCCTTTCAAGGTTGAAATTTTTACGAAGTAAATATTTCTTATATTTGTCAGGACCACCAGGTTGTAACCAAGCATAAGTTGATCTACCCCAGCAAGGAGGAACTAGGCCTGCTCCTACAGATGGCTGATGCAACTTAACAGGTAGGACGGATATATTGCTGGAGTAGCTAGAGTTGAAGATTTAGCTAGAGGTCTATTTTTAACAGTAGGATGGATATATTGCTGGAGTAGCTAGAGTTGGAGATCTAGCTAAAGGTCTTCTTCTAACAGGTAGGACGGATATGTTGCTGGAGTAGCTAGAGTTGAAGATTTAGATAAAGGTCTATTTTTAACAGGTAGGATGGATATATTGCTGGAGTAGCTAGAGTTGAAGATTTAGCTAGAGGTTTTCTTTTAACAGGTAGGATGGATATATTGATGGAGTAACTAGAGTTTGAGATCTAGCTAGAGGTCTTCTTTTAACAGGTAGGATGGATATATTGCTGAAGTAGCTAGAGTTGTAGATCTACTATTTTAGTACTACGTACTGTATTGTACGGTACTGCACTTTACTGTACTGTATTGTATTTTACAGGGGATACAGTTTTAAGCCAGGTAGTAATTTGTAAACATATTTAGTTCAACTACTATTTATTTACTGAACTGTATTGTACAGGAGAAAGAGTTTTAAGCCTGGTTGTAATGTGTAAACATAAACCTACAGTTCTACTACTATTTATGTACTGTACTGTATTGTACAGGGATAGAGTTTTAGCTTGATTGTAATGTGTAAACAAACCTACAGTTCTACTGCTATTTATGTACTGCACTGTATTGTACAGGGGATAGAGTTGTAAGCCTGGTTGTAATGTGTAAACATAAACCTACAGTTCAACTACTGGAGAGAATAGCTACTGCAGTTGCTGAGGACTTGAAGGTAAATATTCCTCACATTTCTTATCCTATTTATTATAAATCATCTAAGGGTGGCTTAAAGATATCATCTTTAATCTTAAAATACTATTTAATTACAAAGAATACATCAAAAAAGGTGGCACGACTGGCAAGCTTTTAAATCAAAACCTTAGAATTCTTGCTCAAAAAGAAATAAAGAGAAAAGGAACTTTTTTGTAAAGTATAGTGGATCTTGATTATTAATTCCAATTTTGGGTTTTTTAATTTGAGGATAAATTAAAGTTCAGGGTCTTACCACAATGGGATATCAAAGAGGAATTTAATTTATCCGTAGATCTGCATAAGATGGAGATCAAATGCTTGATTCCGGGTTTCACAACACATAATTTCTGACCTCAGGAATTATTTTTGGTTTATTATTTTTTCATGTATTATACTTGTAAAATTCAGTGCTGAGGATCCATTTAATTTTGATGCGGATCCGGATCCTGGATCCGCACTGGAAAAAAATGGATCCGGATCCAGGTCATTTGTTTAAGATTTACTGAATTTTTTTACCAAAAAATAATTTTCAAATTTTTTGTTTATTTTTTTCGCTTATTTTTATCCTAAAACTTGAACCATTCAGAAATGAGGAAATTTTTATAATCTCTCTTTTTTCAAAAGTTCAGAATTGGGGTTTAGAAGTTACAAAGTTTTTTTTGTAGTTTTTGGTTGATATTTTACCCCTTGGATCCAGATCCGTGGATCCGCATATTTTTGCGGATCCGGATCCAGGAAGCCAAAATCTTGCGGATCCAACGGATCCGGATCCTAAGCACTGTTAAATTGTATGAGGACGATGCACGTACACGGTGTCCCACGAAACAGTTTTAACTTGGTTTTAACTGGTTTGCCAGCCACCGGTAGTATCTCCTTGATCCCCTCCGGCCTGGGGGGATTAAAGGTCAGGCAGTGGAACAGGTACTTCCCGTATCTCGCTGCGATCTAGGGGGTCTCTTATGTTCCTTTTGGTGAATAGCTTAAAATGTCTTTTTCCATAATTTGAACTTGTTTGATTCCAAAAAGAATAAAAATATATATTATAGGAAACTTAATATTAGCATAGCAGATTTCATCAACGAAATAAACTGCAAAATGTCTTTATATTTAATACAGTATATGGAAGAAAACATTCATAACTATTCCCCTACGGTCATGTTTCGTTGGACACCCTGTATAATTTCCATACTTTTAAGAAGTTTTCATGTTTATTGGGGCACCCTGTATTATCTCCTAAATTGATAATTTTAGAAAAATCCTTTGAACCCAAGATGGTTTATGATTGGTCAAGCTTGTTTTGTTTTATTTATTTTAATTTAATTTAATTTTTTTTTATTCTTTAGGAAGTGTATGAAAAGGATTTGAAGAACGAAAACACTAAGGTATTTTATATATGCTATTAATCAAAATAATCTCATTATTATGTTCATAATAGTATTTTAATTTTCATTGTCTAAGTGACAATTTATAAATAGGTTTTTTCCCATACTTTTCCCTAACATTTGTATTGTACTGTTCTTCACAGCACCACACCTTTACCGTACTATACTATTGTTCTTTAATGTACTATACTGTACTATTGTTCTTTACTGTATTGTACCTAGGGATGGATCGTTTCCACTCTTATGAAAAACCATCTTTTCGCTTTTAAAACGACGGAGAAAAAACGAAAAACGAAAAGATTGTTTTCATAAACGATCGTTTTTCGTTTTTTGTAAGTTCAAAACGAGTGTACCATACTGAACTCCTCAATATTGTTCTGCACTGCGACTGTACTGTACTATGCTTTACTGTACTGTACTGTACTGTACTGTACTGTACTGTACTGTACTGTACTGTACTGTACTGTACTGTACTGTTTGATTCATTGATTCATTGATTCATTGATTCATTGATTCATTGATTCATTGATTCATTGATTCATTGAGTCATTGAGTCATTGAGTCATTGAGTCATTGAGTCATTGAGTCATTGAGTCATTTATATTTATTTATTTATGCATTTTCCTTTTCAAGTCATTCGTCATTTTAAATTCATTCATTTATACATCTAATAATTCATTTACTTATTCATTCATTAATATTCATTTACTTATGCGTATTTTTATCTTTTTATTCAAAAACATATTAATTTTTTGATAAATTTAAATTTATTCGTTCATTTATGGATGAATCCTTTCGTTCATTTATGGATGAATCCTTTCATTCATTTTGTTAACTAATTTGTATAAATTTTTAAATTATTTTTATAATGATAGTTTTTTATTGTTTCAGGATGGCCCTGCTGAACTATACTCAGTTAATGTTAGTCTCACCTGTTCCAAGATGAGAGAGAAGGTAGTAAAAGCCAGTTATAAGCACTAAGCAGTGTTTTTAAGATTTAAATGATAAAATGATAAACTTATTTTATTATATACATTTGATTTAAGATACAATTCAGCCAATTTACTTTATAGAACTTTGTTGTTTTTAAAAAACTATTAGTATTATTATCTACGAGAAAAGCAGTTTCTCTCCTGTTTGGATGAAATTGTATGTCTTTGGATGGCAGGGGGGGGGGGGGTATTTGAGTGCACTGACCTAATGGCTGTCCGGGTTCTCCAACCGTAACCGTCAGATTATGTTTCTTAAAATATTTCAACGCCTTTTACATTTTTGTTTCATATTATCTAACGAGTTCTTAATGATAGTTTATCTAAATATTATTCTATCAATCAAATTTTCCAAGTTAACAATTTTTAATCTATGTTAAGGTGGTGAAAGAGAATCCGAAGGTGGTAAAAGAGGAGAAGGAGGAGAAAGAGAACGGAAATGAGGAGGTGAAGGAAGAAAAAGAGGAGAATGAAGAGATGGCCCAGGACGAAGATGATAAAGTAGTGGAAGAGGAAGAGTAAGTAGAAAGTTTATTAGAAAACAAAATGCGTGGTGGTGATGAATATTGAATATACTGAAGAGAAAAATATTTTATAATTAATCAAATATTCTGAACAAACTCAAAATCCAAGCTTTGTCGAGTTTTTATTAAAAAAGTCAATCCTTTCAATTTAGAAGTTTTAAACCAACCAATAACATTCTTTCTACCGAATTTCCCCATCAAAGTTTGAGGCGAATGGGTCCAATTTATAAAATACTAGCGGAAGGGCCCGGCATTGCCCGTGAAACATGAAAAAGAATTTGAAGAAAGATTTTTTATATTGTATTTGTTAGCCTTAGTCCCCCCCCCCATGCTACTCATGAGAGTCCGAAAAAAATACTAGTCCATTCGGTCCTGTCGTTTGGCCGGCTGTAAGGAACATATATACGATTTTTTTTATTGAATATGTAGATACAGAAAGATATTTTCTAACTACTTACAAAAATAGAATATCAAAGTAACATTGGAATTGGAATTTTGTTTCTTTAGCTAACTGGTTTTCTCGGAACTTTCTGGTTTTTTGTTGTAGAATTCTTATTGTTAAATACATTTTTTTATTAGCAAAGTTTAAAGAATTCGGCGGCTTAAGCATTCTGGCTGGGGTTGGATTAGCTGATCGGATACAATTAGCTGATTGGATACAAACCAACATAGAGACGAAACAACAATATTTATATAATAATAATATCCTGGATTCTAGAGAGGATCCTGTTGGGATGCTCCCTAAGGAAGCATGTTTGGAGGCTCTCGCTGAACTCAGGCACGCTAAATGGTTTACTACAATGGCGGTAAGATTTTAATTGAAAGGGTGTGATATCAAAATATACCCCCCCCCTCCCCTCGAAAATTTGAGTTTTTATCCTTCTTACAAATAGTTGGAGTTTACTTTATTGGATTCCACGGTCTGTGTTTGTTATTCAATCAATCAATCAACGAACGAATGAACTGTGTATGCTAAAAAAACTATTATGTAGACTAAAGCCGCAAATGGGTTTGGCTAGCCTAATTCAGCATACATTTTTAATATTGTTGATATCAGAAATATGCTCTTCCCCCCTCGGGGCCCCGTCATTCTGGTTCCGAATCTAACTCCACTGAAATATTAATGTTTCTAAAACTTGAGAAAACTCTTCTTGATTCGTTGGATATGTGGATTCTAGACTCTTAGACTCTTAGAGAGTATATTTTTGTTTGGCTAAAGGGTTCTCGGGGAAAGCAGTTTTCCTTTTAAATTCCGGTACCCCCCTATCTATCTATTTACTAACTATCAATCTATTTTTTAAAATATATTTTGTCTCATCTACGGTGGTCGGCGTTTATATCAATACACTTACAAATTAGGTGTTAAAAGAGAAATGGACCAATTATAGACGACGTCACAAGTGTCATTTATATAACAAGGAAAACGAAATTTTCTCACATAAGATGACATATTTTCTAAAATTAATTTAAAAAGTGTAAAAACAGAAACTAAAGAAAACATAAATTGTACTCATTTTCCTGTAAGATAAGCACTTTATAAATTGTCATTTTTATTAATAATTTTGTCGGACACAAAAACTGAGTTGACACTTGTAACGGAAGAATACAGCTGTACTGGTAGTGTACAATTCTGCTTTGCCATCTATTGAACTAGAATCTATTTGGTAATTACAAGCTATTAAGTAAGGAAAAAGAAACTGTTTTTGACACCTTTTCTTTGTTTCCATGGGCGGTCTGGGGGGTCCACAATGGGGCCTCTTGCAGATTTCACTTCCTTATGATTCCTTATATGCATCATTCTGTTTAAAGCTTGGTAGAAAACAGTAGAAAACAAAAATTAAAATAGAAAGTCGTTTTTATTGTATTGTTATACAGGACGACGACTGTCTATCTATCTCATCTTTTTGCAGGGACCCCTGGAGTCATGTGCTGAATCTATTCGAATCTTCAAGGATATGTCGAGACGTGTTCCAGCCTTTGCTTGCATAGGTAATAGCTCGTCGTTGTTTCTTGAGATTTCTGGTAGGATGATATTTTAGGTATTTTATGTGGAGATTAATGAAGTTTTTTTTGAGAAGTTTCTTCTGTCTGATTCTTTTGATCGAGAATTTACCAGATTCTTATTCAAAATAGAACTGAGATGTATATAGTAGTAACTCGTAACTACTAACAGTTACTTATCAGGTCGAATACATAACAAGAACACATTTGCCTCAAATTTAAAGCCGTTGTTTCAAAATTGTATCTTATAAAATTTTTAACCATTGTAATATATTTTCTGGAAAAATCATTTTTTACCCACGGCCCGCACTCACTCTCACCCCCCCCCCCTTTTCTTATCTTCCTGATTTCAGGTGTGTTTGAAAGGATTTGGTTTTAGTGTTTTTTTTGTTGAATTGGTTAAAATAAATAATTTAGTAATTTTTAGTACATACGTCCTTAAATTTTTGATTATTTTATAAATTTTATAAATTTTATTAATTTATATATTCAATATAAAATTCATTTTATTTGAATTTTCAATTTTTTTATCCATGCTTTTCTATTAATATTAATTCATCAATTAATCTTATCAATTGTTAATCTTTTTAAACATTAATTTATTTCTATTTAAACTTTAATTTAAGGAGACTGGGGGATAGAGTTGCTTTGTGAGCGATCCATTGCGACTTCACTCGAACCACCCACCCCTAGTCTAGCGATTCTCAGATGCTTGGAGGTATTCATTCATTCATTCATTCATTCATTCATTCATTCATTCATTCATTCATTCATTCATTCATCCTATCATTCATCCTATTATTCATCCTATCATTCATCCTATTATTCATCCTATCATTCATCCTATTATTCATCCTATCATTCATTCATTCATTCATTCATTCATTTATTCATTTATTTATTCATACATCCTTCCTTTCGCTCATTCATTTATTAGTTTATTCAATCATCCATCCTTTCATCCCTTCATTCATAAATAATCCTTTCTTTCAATTAATATTTTAATAATCTGTTTTTTCATCTTTTCATTAATCTTTTCTTGTTCATGGTCTCTCGTTTATTCTTCCATCCTATCATTAACCTTTTTTTCATCTATTCACTCATCCTTTCATTTTCCTTTCATTCATCCTTTCGTTCTTTCATTTATTAATGAATTATTAATTTATTTTTCACTGAAAGGTGAAGTTTATTCTAAAATCGATTCTTTTATTTATTTAAATTCATCTATCCTTTCATTATTAGTCAGATAATCCTTCATACATCCGAATTCATTTATTCATTCTGAATTGATTTCAGAAATACTATGCTTCTTAACTTTGTCTATTTTTCTTCTCATTTTTTGTTTTGTTATTTAATTGTTCTCTAGGTTCTTGCAAGCGGACTGCTATCAGCAGATGGTTTTGGGATTAAGTAAGACAAGTTTTTAACAAATTCAAAGGGACTGTACGCGTAATTTCAAATGATCCTCCGTTCAAGGATGGCAATGCTTGATTTAGAACGGTACACTTAAAAGCTTGGTTATTTTAAAATGATATCAACGTTTTTAATTTTATAAACCGATTATTTTAAAGTCTTGTTTCTCTACAACAGTGACTTTTTTACTTCTGGAAAATTTAAAAGAATTATCAGAAAATTTACAATTTTTCACATTTTTTTACATTTTTTATAAGAAAAAGGCTTCAAAAATACTGTTGTAAATTGGACATTTCTAGCATTGCATGGGTGGTCACTTAAAATTACACTTACAGTCCCTTTAACAAGTATTTTTTATTCTTTTCTTTGTTTTCTAAAACTTTCCCTGAAATGTTTTTAAAAATAGATAAACTCTTCTGTTAAACTAGATTTTGAAGAAAAACAAAACAAAAACACGTTTTAACTTTTTGTCTAACCTTTTTAACTTTTATGGAAAATCTTTTTTTTTCGTTTTTTTTCTTTTTTGATTTTTTTTCTTTACTTTGAGAGATTAAATCAAATTTAACAATATAGATATATGTAAAACTAGACCTTAGACATAATTCAAATTTATTAAATTTTGATTCATACAAAATTAGTATTTTTATTTATAGTCTTACATTATTTGAATATCAAGCCTGTTTTTTTATTTGAACTATTGATTTAAATAATAACTCAAAACATTTGTTTTAAATTGAAATTTTAAAAAATTTTGTTCAGTGTTTTGTTTATTACCCAGGGACCCCTGTGAGCGTGAAGCGCGTGATGTGTGCGTATCTCTGACCCCTCAAGAGCGCGAGGATATTACTGCGCTTGCACAAGATTATGTCAGGAAAATCCACTTCAGGTTCGATTTTAATGTTGAATTGTTGGTTGGTTGGTTGGTTGGTTGGTTGGTTGGTTGGTTTTGATCGTTTCCATAGATTTATAGTTATTTAGATTGACTGAATGATAGCTTGATTGAATGAGACCTTGATGTAATGCTCGATTAATTGATTGGCGACTTAATTGTTTGACTAACGACGACTTGATTGATTGACGGATTGACGACGACTGGATTGATTAACTGATTGACGGATTATTTGATTGATTGATTGACAACCTGATTGATTGATTGATTGATCGATTGTAGGAAGATGTGGCAGGTTCTTGGAATTGAGAAATCCCCATCCTACAAGGAGAGAAAAGGTGACAAAAGATTTCAAGATTTTCGAAATTAATGTTTTTTTGGATTCCAAATTTTCAGACTTTGGGAAACTCTTTCCAGACCAGTTCAATAGTTGAAAGTTTAAGGGAATGTCACAAAATCTATCGGTGAAAACCTATCTTAAAGTAAAATTTTTTAAAACGGGTGTACACTGTAAACTTTTCAGAATTACCCCTGCCCTAGGGGGACGGGGTGGGAATGATTTTTGTAGATCTGGGGGAAAAACTGATAAATTCGAAATCAAAACTTCTTTAATCCTTTTCACCCTTGAAAATTTATTCATTTCCTCTCAAAATTCCTACAAAAAAAACGTGCCTAACATTTTTTGGGGGGGAGGGGGATAAATTTCTAAAGAGGGAAGGTGAAATAATTATTTTTAAAGAAAATATACACCACTTAAAAAAATCAAATAAATACGCAAGTTTTGATGCGAAGGGTTTAAATCTGAAGTACCATTGTTGTTTGTTGATTTAACTATTTGGATGACTTAAGTTCTAAGTTAAAACTTATTTTAACCTAATTGCTTGTTTCCCGCATTTTTAATCTTAGTTCAGAATCCCTGATATAAAAAAGTATACTATGCGTTCCGAAACAATATTGTTATCTTTAATATCCTTACTTTGTTCAAATTTGACCTTGAACACATCCTGTTTATCATTTTTGCTACGTCACTAAAATTTATAATTAGTTTTCAGAGAATTTTTTTTATCAATTTGTAGTGAAAATTTCATTTTTAGCAGCTCAGGAGGCAAAAGCCAAAGAAGCTGCACAGAAAGCTGCTCAGGAGGCTAAAGCCAAGGAGGCCGCCGAGGACACGGTTAAAACTGAGGTCAAGACCGAATAGAGATAAACTTGACCAGGGGTCTATATTCTACCTAAAAATCAACCTTGTATAGAAATTTTTTTGTTAAAAAAGGCTGATATTTTTCATGTAAAATTTACACCCCTGTTCTTAACGACTTTTTTTCCAGACCCGTATTCAATGTAGCTACACAGTACACATGATACACACTTCTCCACTTCATTTTTTTTTCTAGAAATAATTTTTTTTAAATAAATTACCTGATACAACTAGGCGGTAATGGGGAGAGTTAAAAAATGAAAAAACGGGAATTTTTGTCAGAGGTAAAGAAAAAAAGTTCCAAAAAAAGTAAAAACATCCCTTTTTTGTTTATTTTTCTCTTGTTAGAAAATTGAGTGTTGTGAAATATTAAACACAATGTATATTATTATTATATAAGAGTGCTGATTGCGCATTTTTGTCCTTTAATTGTATCTTGTGATTTGATCGTGGAGTAATATTAGGAGAGCCTTAAAATAATCCAAATAGCCCCATCACTTGCACTGGAAATCATANCCCCCCCCGCACTATGCACGAGTAGTACCCTCGCATTTTCTTGCATTAGAATCAGCAGTCGTAAACGGACCAAATCAGAGCCAGCATTTGTAAACGGACCAACAAATATCTGTTGATTCCCGAATTTGGATTACTTTGATGCTCTCCCTTTAAAAGTGTTTTTTTTTCTAATAAAGTTCAACAAAAACCAGTTTTAGATTTTATGACATTTTAAGACGGATACCCAGACATTGACACGACTGAACAGGTAAAAAATAAGTAAGGATCAAGAGAAGATTAAGAAAGTTTTTTTTACCTTTTGATGGACAAAATTGTCTCAGAGATAAGAGCAAAAATGTTAATTAGAAGATGTAAAGTCATAACGTGGTATTTAAAAATACTGTATACAGGTCTTTAGAGGCTGGATAGTAGTTAAATTTTAATGCGATCAACGTTCTGAATATAGAAAACTGTTTAAATATCAAATCTGTGATTAAAAACTTTTTTTTGATTACTTGAAACCGTAAACTTTGAGATAAAGGTTTAAAATCTCACCTAGGGGTACAGCTCCCTTAATTTTAAATATGGCCAAGTTTTTCAAGACGGTTCTTTTGATAGCCACCTTGGCTTATTTGAACAAATTTTTTAATTTGATTTTTGCACATTTTAAACTTTTGCAAAAATGATTACTGATTGATCTTTTTTTGGTTGGAAAACAAAAGTCATAAAATTTCTTAAAAGTGCTTAAATAATTGAAAGTAATATGACAAAAAAAATCCGACAAAAATACTTAGTGGAAATCTTCAATCGTCAGCTTGGAGCACATTTATATGGCTCCTTAATTTTTTATCAGATAAGCGGGTCTTTTTACCCTTAGAACACACATTTTTCAAGAATTTAACATCAAGGAGGGGAGGAAGGCCAACCACAACAATTTCTCGTCCGAGCCACCTCGAAATCCTCGTCCTTTCAAAAAAAAAAATTTTAAATAAACTATTTTTTTTATAAAATAAAACTGTTATTAAAGAATCGGGCCACGTTAGGGCATAAATGAAATATCTAATTTTTGTAAATCGAAAAAAAAATTTCGAATGAATTAAAGATTTCAAGTTTAATGTCTTTAAAAATGTTCACCTTTTTAACGCGCATTTTCAGGTATTCCTGGTGTAGAATGCCGCAAATAATTCCAAGTTTATAGAACTTCAATCTTTTTTGTTAACTATAGTGAAAACCATAGATTTTTTCCGGGTGGTTCCATGGGGAAAATTATAAGCAGAGGTATGCCGAATATTTTACTATTTATTTTATATCACGAAGGTTAGCCATTACGGTGGCAGAAGAGATTTAAGTTTTACCTAAATAAAGTTTGACATCATTCTCATGGGTTTGAAGATTCCAACATGATATAATCATTGCAATACTTTAGTCCATCCATATTTTATGCCTTAACGTGGCCAGATTTTTTAAAAATAGTTTAATCTTCAAGAATTGGAAACCTTTTAACACAAAATAATCGAAGGACGAGGATTCCGAGGTGGCTCGGACGAGAAGATGAGAATGTGGCTCGGACGAGAAATTGTTGTGGCTGGCCTTCCTCCCCTCCATCAAGTATGCGCAGTCCCTCAAAAACTAAAATTCGTGAATTTAAATTTTTTCGCGGATTTTTTTCAATTCCACAGTTTTACGGGTCTCACTTATGGACTCCCAACGTTTTTCGCGTCTCCTATTCTGGCAAAGAAGTTTTGCTGAATACTTCGACCAATCTTTCATCGTACAGGGTAAACCACAAAGAATGAGACTTCGGGAACGACTGCACGTCACGGAATTTTGTTTCACTTGTGGGGCCCAGCAGTAGTAAACTTGTTTCTATCTTTGCTAGGGACCGACTTTGAGGTACGTTGCTGAACTACCGGTTCAAATTTGAACTAACGATTCACAGATTAAAGAAGGATTTGAATCGGTGATTCAAATTTTAACTGTAGTTAGGCAATTTATTAAATTCGGCCCCAGATCATTTTATACATAGATTAATGAAAATAACAGATTGGGCACTAGATGTCGTCGTTTCAAGATTATAAGTATTTCGTTCACAACTACCCTGAGGCAGCAGCCCAAAGGAGTTACGCGTAGTCGGCATAGAACAGACTCTGCAGAATTTGTTATTTTAATTAATCTATGATTGTTTAGAACAACCGTCCAAATTATGTGTTCAGCTTGTCGTATTTCACGAGTCTCATACTTCGTGTGTAACCCTGTATAAACAGTACATCAATACTTAATAGTACGATAGCACATGTTTAATATATATATTAGAATATAATAGAATAGCTCGAAAAGTTTAAGAGAGTTTTGACGTAAAGATTCAAAGATTCACTTTAAAACTATTAATCACTACTTAACCGGGAAGGTAAAACCCAAAAATGTCGAGGAGGCCCAAGGCTAAATGGGTTTCCCCTCAATTTGATAACTCTGATGAAAACACTCAGGTTAAGTAGTAATTTATCGTTTAATCTCCTGTTCAACGAAATAACTGTGGAGGATAAAATAAGAAGGAATTAGTGTTAATTAGCCTCCTTTTGAAATTCAAGTTGATAAACAAACGTCAGGGATATTAACGTCAGTTATTTGGTTGAACGGGAGATTATACTGGTGAGAAATGCAAGCAAATTTAGATAATTTTAAGACGGAAAACTGAAAAGTGACAAAATATTCTTTATTGTTGATTAAATACAGGAATCAGGGTAACAGACTGAATCCACTTCAAACTGAAATGATGTCGAAAATCCTTTAAAATAGATCTAATCAGTGCTTCATGGATCCGGATCTATATCTGTATCATAAAGAAATGCTCGCATAACGAGCGGGGGAAGGCAGGCGGCCATCACCCAATACATTTTCCCCTTTCATGGGACATGTTAGCATTTTTTTGTCATCTGGCAGCCATGAGCCACAACCGTACTGTCTTCCATGCTACAGCATTTCAGTCTTCCGGCAGTTATCACGTTTTTAATATAATAAATTTAGGGCATTGAAATTGCAATTTTAAAAATCCTGCCGCATTACGCGAAAGATCATACCTTGAAGAAATTTTAGAAGTTTATTAAAGATTATTGAATTGTGTTCAGTTTATAAACTACTTCAAATTATACAAAGAAAATTTTACATGATTTCACGCATTGTAAGCACCGAGACAAATTGTTTGGGTAGTCTAACTAAAGAATTAGAAAAGATGATAAAAATCATAGTATTAACCATGGCATTACCTGAGCACTACAGATTTTCTCAAAAAAAATCTATTTTGCAATTTGTTCATGAAAAAGTGGAAATTTTCTGTAATGGGTGCTCTTTGAACTTTAAGAGTATGTTATGGTGCATCATTTATATTGTTCATAATGTTTTCAAAAATAATCCATTATAGAGGAAAGATCGACTTTATTTTTGGAGAAAATAAGTTCAGCAGTTGACATTAAAAGAAATCGTCATAATTTTATTTTAAAACTTGAATATAAAGATCTATATATATATAGCTTTTGCATGACGCCGCTGAATTTTTTGAAAACACAATTTAAACGCACTAAGGTTATTATTTAAAAACTGATAACTGCCGGAAGACTCAAATCAGAAGACCGTACGGTTGTGGCTCAAGGCTGCCTAATACGTGGCGTGGACGGGGAAAATGTTGTAGCTTATGGCCGCCTGCCTTCCCCCGCTCGCACAACAAAGGTTTAGTATATAAATTTTAGGGATTATTAAAACCTGCCTTTTATCCGAAAGGTAAAATAAATAATTTCAGCAAATAAAATTTTAAATTTTAAATTTCTGAAATCTTTCTTATGTACTGTTTACACTGTTGTATACTCATATTAGAGGGTGTCCCAATAAATATAGAAATAAGGTGACAAATTTATAACAGAATTTTTAAATCTAAAATTAGTAGAAGGATTATTTAAATAAATAGGTTAAAAACGAAATTTCGCAATTCTTTTATGTACTTATCTTGTATACTCAAATTAGAGGGCGTCACACAATGAAAGTGAGTGACAAATTTTTAACATAATTTTTGAAATTATTAAGTTTCGTCTAATAGAGTTTGTGTATGCTCTATTATCTATATATACAATGTTGTAATCTCTGCTGGTCTTGTGTTTTTTTGTCCTATCATAACTCAGGAGCCCCTGGACCAATTTGCCTCACATTTTGATTGGATAACTCTGGAGAGCCACGGAAAGGTTCTTAGTTTGGTTTTGAGATTCTAATTTTAGTAAATCGACTTTTTTGCGTATTTTACGACAAAGCCCGGGTAAAGAGCGGGACTAACGATGACTACCCTGGGCAACGCTAGGTTCCCAAGCTAGTATCTTATATGTGCAAACGTGTAGCACAACAGCGGTACAAAGCTTAAAGTAAAACTCTTTTAGACGAAACTTTCAATGAATACAGCTTTGCTAGTAGACATTAATATAATAAATAACATAAATCAAAGATCATTTAAAAGAGTGATATCGAAAATGTCACTCTATTCCCATGTATATTGGGATACCCTGTATCGAGAATTTATGTAAATGAATCTTTAAAGACCAAGAACAGCTGTGGTAAGTAGACAATAAAAAATAGTTTACATTGTTTGAGGAATGAATATCTCCAACGTTATAATTAACTGTGAACAGATACAGATATATTCTATTTTAAACCGTAGGGTCGCTTAAAATTAAATAAATGTAACCCTAAAATTTTGCTAGAAGGGTCTGATCAGGGAACAGGAATAAAGGGAATGGAAATGGCGCTGGTCCGGCAAGAGAAAGCCAGTCGCACTGCTTTGCAGACCAGTACAGTAAACTTACAAACACTCTTCTGGTACAGACACACAACATGACTGCAGTCAATGAAATTGTAGAACAATGTCGTCGATTATAATTAAACTTGAATAACGAGTAGTTTATTGTAAATATTTAATAAAATTATATTCTTTGCATAAAAATTTGGCTTTATAGTGTTGACTTAAATATGTAAATAATATATTACATGTATATTAAACATATGTTTAAGTAAACAATAAACAAATGTACTCTCCTAGACTGTACAAATCCCGAGATTCTTACGTACTGTATAAACCTACAGTACAAACCTTTGGTACAGTAAACTGACACACACTCTTTTGGTACAGACACACACACATGACGTTTCCGCCTCCTGGGTCTTTTTTATTTGGTGTACTATCCCGTTTACCTGTATGCGTATTGTACAGCTTTCTGTTGTCGGCCCGGTAATTGAAATGAACTGGAGTGGCCAGAATGTACGATTTAAGCTACGAATTCATCCCAGAAGAAATTCAGCTGCAATACATTTTTTGAAGTGCAACTATTAATGCATATTATTATTTGAGAATTCGACACAAGAGTAAATGAAAGAATGAAATTTTTGTTAGAATGATTAAATTAATTGATTAGAAATGTATTAATGAGATCACGGTACTAAGGATAATTATGAAAATGATTGGATGAAAGTAGGATTAGGCGAACGGAAAAATTAATGCTTAATGAAATAAAACTAATTTTTTGAAAAGATAATTAGGTTAATGAAGAAATGAATAATGATTTAATCAATGTGGATGAACGAAGAAATGAGTACGATGAATTAATTAATCAATGAAAGGATAAGCGAATACATTTCTGATTAAAGATGAAAGAATAAATGAATGAATGAATGAATGAATGAATGAATGAATGAGTAAGATATATTAGTGAAAGGATGGGTGAATTAATCGATGGTAATGTTGAATTAATGAACTAGTAAGAAGAAATAATTATTGAATGAAAGGATGGGTGAATAAATCAAAGAATAAGGATGAACGATGAGCAAGTAAATAAATTAGTCGATGACTAAGGATGAACGAAAAAATGAGTAAATAAATCGATGAATAAGAATGAATGAATGAATGAATGAATGAATGAATGAATGAATGAATGAGAGAGTGAATATAACGATTAACCTCCAGTCTACTGATTGATGACTGATGAAGAAGATAAACTAGCTCAGCTGTCGGGTTAAATATTAGGAACTGTCGATTCATTGAGTTCTCCTGAAATTCTAGGGATCAAGAAACACATTAAACTCTTGAGAGCAATCTAGTTTTACTGCTGTAATTGCAGACAATAAAAGAAAGAAACATATTGTGATACTTAAAAAAACGATTTCTAAAACTTCATAGAAACAATTCCTTTAACCTTTGTCTCGGCAATAGAATAAGAAGATATTCTTAGTTTTCTTCCTGAAAATTAAGAAACAATTTTAATGTGGCTTGAGGCTTGAAATTAACAGAATTCAACTCTATTCATGATAGTGTACGGTTGTATGTCTTTCTTTTTGTTTCTAAGATGATGGTTTAAATGGTATCTAATCTATGTGATTAATTGATTTTAATGTTGAAATTGACAAAATAGTTTATCCCCTTAAAGGGTTGAAATGTTTTTAATTTGGAAAGCTTTTCTCCAATTGTCATCTTTAAACTTGATTTGCGCATTTCTACTGCAGGAAAAAATAAAGGTATTATCCGACTCAAACACTTGTCAATATATTTTTGAAATAATTGATTAGATTATGGGTACCTTTGTAAATCGGACAAACCTCTTGTAAAATAAAAATATGTATAATGACATTCTCTATATTATTTGATCAAATAAATCATGCATTTCCTCTTGTAACCTCTAAATTCGTCTTTCAAGATCTTTCAAATTTATTTAATTTCAAACAAATCATTCAGATATTACACCCTATGGTCATCGATTATCTTTCGCCAAATTTGTATATAGTTAATTTTTTTAAATTTTTTTTTTTAATAACATTTAGCTTCCAACTTGTTTTCGAACATTCCTGGAAAATATGAAAATGTCGTCTTCATTACCAAAAATCCTCGAAACAGGAATAACTGTTTTTATAAGTAACTCTCAGATCATAAAAATTAAGACATATTATGAAAAATCAACTATATACTAATGTGGCGAAAGATAATCGATGACCATAGGGTGTAATATCTGAATGATTTGTTTGAAATTAAATTGATTTTTTTAAGGTCTAAGTCGTATATTGCATCTTTCTGAATTTGTATGGATACTACGTTCTTCGGTATTAGTCGTTTTTAACAATTTTCTCATTATAGACGCAACAGATAGAAGTAAGATTAGAAGCGATCAAAAGCACTTTTTTATCGCATTAAGCCTATACCCCTTTTCATTTTTGCGAACACTCCCTTTAAGAGTTAGAACATAAAAAATTAGGTTGCTATTTTTTTCTGCTAGTTCTGTTTGAAGGAGCCAAATGTTTTAAATTTACAGTTCAAATTTGCCCCCCCCCCCTTCATTTTTCTGTTTTTTTCCTAATTTAGGATAGCCTAATAAATAATTCTAATGAAACTGAATAAGTTTGCTCTAGTTCCTGTGCATCAAGAGGAGGTACGAGGTCACAAAGTTGGACCGTTTATGTCGCATTCATTTTAATTAATTAATTAATTAACTGGAATTTAAAGGTCTCACGCTCTCACGCAAAAATCTATGAGAATTTTGCCAATTACTTCTTAAAAACCATAGCTAACAACAAGTAATTTCCATTGCTATGTCGCATTCATTTTAATATATTTGCTCTCAAACAATAATCTATGAGAATTTTGCCAATTACTTGTTGAAACCCAAAGCTAACAACAAATGATTAGCAGTGCTAAAATGTACATGTAAAGGGCTACAGAAAAGTATAAGTAAGTTAGAGTGGTAAAATCTAAACCCAAGGTGTTGTGACACTTCAAAGTCAACCTTGTCTTAAGAATCAATGAGACTGTTTAGAAGCAGGCTGAATTTCCTTCTTTTCAGTTCACAGTTTTACTCTATCTTAAAATCCCTTCATTACTTTTTCTTAAAGTCAAGAAGTTATAAAATGTCTTTCCAGGGTTAAAAGGAGTGGGGGGCGAGGGGGTTGACGGAAAATATTTAACCTTTGCCTTTTTTATTTACAATACTTCAATTGATTGGAAACGGAAGATTTAAAACTTTTAAGATTGACAAAAAAAAATATTAGTAAACATTTCTAATATATATGGCTGCAGAACGATTATTATCAGAAATGGCCAAATTAATTAATTGGAAAAATATACATGGGAAAAACCGATCTAAAAAATCACATATATTTTCATATATTCAATAAAATCTATTTAGGGTCGAGAAGGTTTTTTTTTTAAATCTTATAACCCCACATGATGTCGATTGTATAACAATGAAAATTTATTTCAGAGTACATAAAACTTACATATTCAAATGTACATACAAGCATATATTGGATATGTACCATGGTACTGCAGAAAAACTAAATGCACTAAAGTACCTAAACAATCTTTTCTTGAGCATACTAGATTTTGTAATGAGCACAAAATACAAAATGATTTTTGATGAAATTTATCATTTTTTCTGTAACAATTGTTATAATGATGGTAAAATTATCTGGGTCAAATTGTCAAATGACAATTATATTTTAGCATTTTTATTTCGAATTCCTCAATTTATCTTCTGCTTGAAAGAGGCCGGATGTAAGCCATAAAAAAGATGGAACCAGGTACTTTATGCATCTTTTTCTTTCTGCCTTGATGGATTTAATATCACAGAGTAAAAAACTGAAAGATTTGATAAATCGTGTTCAGTATCAAATATTTCAAGCTCCGACAAATGTTAGAAATATACAACAAAGAAAAAGTGTGACTAGGAAAGTGTTTGGGATGGACCGAGGGGGGCATTGTTACAGACTAATTAGGCAGAAACAATACACGACAGACAAATAAGTTGAATACAAAAAGATTATACAATGGTTCAGGGTAAAAAATTAATTCTTCATTGTTTTTTTTTTTACATTCAACAAATTTGTATTTTTTTCTATTGGATAGTTTAAAACATAAAAATATGATTTTTGTGCTTGATTATTCAAAAAGCAAATTAATATGTGAAAATCTGTTTTGTCAAACTAAATTATATTCGTAATAAGTCTGATATTTAACCGAGTAGACTCGTTTATTATTTTTGACTTGTTTAGTTGTAGTATTCCTCGTAATAATAATCCTTCTCAGTATCTTTCAGCTTCTCCACCCAGTAGTTTTCACTGAATAAAATAGAGTAAAGAAATCCTAATTAACGGATCTGATTACTCGACTTAAACACCAATTGTGTGCATTTGAAACATGGTGGTGTAAACTTTTAATAGTTTAAACTTCTTTATGAATTCATAGTTGGAAGGATCAATCAAAAGATACAGTGATAACCAGAAAATAATGGAACAGGAAGACGACATGATAGTAATACTTCAGTGTATTTGAGTTTGTTTAAAAAAGCAAATATTTTTACTAGACACTTAATAAATCACTAATTTAGTAAAATGGGTCAATTTAAATTACACAATAGCCCTGTCTGATGTCCACTGGACTTTTTAAAGTTATAACTTTATTCTAAAAGTCGTCTTTCTATTCCGAAGTTTTCTGGTTATCACTGTATACAAAATTTGAAAAGTTTATTTATGATTTTGCATAATTTTATTTGATTAAATTATTTAGATTTAAATTCACTTACCATCCTGGGACCTCTCCTGGATCTCCGCAATGCCCCGTCTCCTTATTAAAAACCTGTTTCCTTGGACACGTGGCAAGGCGCGGACCACCTAAACATGTATAATTAGTTGCGGCATTAAACAATATGGTAGCGACATAATCAAACTTCATTATACTTTTTTCATCACTTTTTTTCTTTGAAACGGTATAAAGGAGAACTATTGTTGATAAAAAGTAAAAAAAATATTTTAATGATCCTTCAAAAACACACTTTTCTCACAAGATTGAATGTTGCATTTAATGTAAATAACAATAAACTAGGTGTTTTTATATTAAAGTTTGAAAGTGGAAGTTTCTAGATACAAGCTCTTATGCTGCCATCAACAAGTTTTGCATAATTTTCTATCTTCTAAGCAGCATCTTTTTTGTTTCAACTTTGAAAACTGTTATGGAAAAAGTTCGGGATGGGGGGGGGGGTGGTTGGAGTTGCACTTTAATAGTTCTCTTTAAATCTATTTCATTGTAAAATTTTGTTATCATTATTAAAATTAGGTGGAAAAAATAATCAAAAAAACAGCCAAGAGCTATTTTCCACCTAATTGCTTTATACTTGTACTGTTAATATAATCATCAATTTGTAATCTTAAACTTGTTCTGTACACAGATACATGTATTTTAGCAATAATCTTTATCTTATATTATCTTATGAACAATCCAAATAATCAAGCTTTCACATAAAATTTGTGATTCACCGACATATGGTTAAAAGACCTAGGGTCAAACGACAAAGAATAAAAACAACCTAGGGTCAAAGGAAAAAAGGTAAAAAAAGCGACAAAGGGTAAAACGACATAGGGTTAAAAAGTGCGACAAACTGGCAAAATTTCATTAAGACTATTTTTGGTTAATTTGAACTATTTGTTCAACTCGACCCTTTGTCATTTTACCCTTTGTTGTGTTTTTGATAGTTTGTCGTTTGACCTTACGTCGTTTGACCCTACAGTCGTTTGACCCTAAGTCGTTGAAAATAAACTTGTTTCAATAAATTTAAAGACCTTCTCAATCCTATGTACTTAAAAACTATTTTTATTTCAATGTAGAATTACTTATTTAAATTAAAATTATTTTTTTATAAGCAAAGTTGTATAAAACTTTGAACGAGTTAAAAAGGTAAAAAAAAGTATAAAAATTAATAAATAAATATTGTTTTAAATATCTTTTTTGGCACTTCCTTCTTGGTCTTAATTTCCCCATTTAAGTTTTTCTTGTGGAAGACGATGCCTGGCCGCGTTAAACAAGTTCCACAAGATTCAACAGAATGAGATAGAACGGATACGGGCATAGTACTGATAAATCATCTACACGTGTGATATCGATATTGACTCTAGTTCTGAACCCTCTAGTAATAAGTTATAGGAAATATATATACTGGAAGTTATTTATGCGTTTTTATTAGAGTCTGACTCACGTCCTCTATATTGGTGACCCCCGACTTTGAACATACAGTTAAACGCTATCCAGTTTCGTGATTTTCTTGAACTTTGAACATTAAGTGATACATCCGAGCATCATGACCGACAAGAAAGAAACTCCAACCGAGTTTGTCGCCAAAGTCTCCGTCAAGCTCCCNTATCTATCTATCTATCTATCTATCTATCTATCTATCTATCTATCTATCTATCTATCTATCTATCTATCTATCTATCTATCTATCTATCTATCTATCTATCTATCTATCTATCTATCTATCTATCTATCTATCTATCTATCTATCTATCTATCTATCTATCTATCTATCTATCTATCTATCTATCTATCTATCTATCTATCTATCTATCTATCTATCTATCTATCTATCTATCTATCTATCTATCTATCTATCTATCTATCTATCTATCTATCTATCTATCTATCTATCTATCTATCTATCTATCTATCTATCTATCTATCTATCTATCTATCTATCTATCTATCTATCTATCTATCTATCTATCTATCTATCTATCTATCTATCTATCTATCTATCTATCTATCTATCTATCTATCTATCTATCTATCTATCTATCTATCTATCTATCTATCTATCTATCTATCTATCTATCTATCTATCTATCTATCTATCTATCTATCTATCTATCTATCTATCTATCTATCTATCTATCTATCTATCTATCTATCTATCTATCTATCTATCTATCTATCTATCTATCTATCTATCTATCTATCTATCTATCTATCTATCTATCTATATATCTATCTATCTATCTATCTATGTTTAAAGGTCTATAACCCCGGGTTCCAATCTATTTTATGGTGACGACCAAACCAACACTGGACACTGGAACGTGAATAAACCACGGGGAAACAGAAAAATTTTAAATTCTTTTTTTTCAATGTTTTTAATCATAAAAAGTATCTGATTATGAGCTAAACCTATTGAATTCATTTTCTACGAATAAATGTTAATTGTTTAATTCGTTTTATCAAAGTATGATAACTTCCTCCAACCTGAGATCCGTTTAATTCAAAAGATTTGGACTTTGAGACAAATCCTTTACCAAGAAGATTAATATGGGGTGAAACATGTATTGAGGCCCCCACCCATCCCTAGAAGATTGATCTGGGGTGGCACAAACAGGTTTTCCAGCGAACAAAATATTTAGCGAAAAAAGGCAAAACTTTTCGTTCGTATTTCACAAGCTTATTCGCGACATTTCGCGAAAATGAATGAAGCGAAAATGCGAAAACGAAGCAAAATTTCGCGGAAAAAAATTTCCNTTCAGTTCGAGGAAGGTAATTAACACAATTTCGTTCCCAGTGACTGTGCCTCCGATATACCCGCCGAGAGTCCATCTTACACCCATAAGAAAATTCTCCTCCATTATCTGCACAATTATTAATAAAATAGTAAGAATCAAACAGTACTTAAATATTAAATATTCACCTCAGGAAGTAGTAAATAAGCGGACCATTGAATAGTCCATGCAGCACCTCCAAGATGTTCAGCCAACGAATTTAAGCACTAAGATAAGATATTGTTAAGAATGAATTTTTTTTTCTTTCATATTTATACCTGTGTAAAGAACTCATCATCTTGAAGTAAACTTTCAAGATCTAACAACTCCTCTTAATATATAAGAATATATTTTTAACTAGTCTGTTAAATTTTATTTTTTTATACCTAAATTCTTAATTCTTGGATAGATTCTTTCCATCTTTCCTTGTTCAATTTCGACAAAGAGTAAAACAGATTTTCCCCCTTCCTCTTTCAACTTCAACAGAGAGTGAAAACCTATGAGATAGTTTAAAATTAGAAGGTAAAATAATGTACAGCTTCCCCTGCTAGAATAATACTAATAATAATATTAGTAATAATAATAATAATAATAATACTAACGGAGTAGAGGACGTGTACTGCAGTTTACTTTGGCCGGGTAATCACACTTCTCCAGAGTTATATCAAAAGTAAACCTAAATTAAATAAAAAAGTTGATGAGGTAGTCTTTTCATCATCTGTATGTATGAAGTAGTATCAAATCTGTTTTTCTTTTTGTTTGTATAACCCTTGACCGATTTGCCTCAAATTCTGATGGGGGAACTGGTTCTAGAGAATTTGAAATTTGAGTTGTTTATTATCTGTGTTATTATTTATAATTTTACTGATTCCTGACTGTAATAAACCCCCATAGTCCTTTATCCCCTTGTATAAATTTACCAAAAATATAAATATTTAGATTTGAATCATTCTTAGAAAGGAACTATGTCGACGTAAGACATCCATTTAAAGAATTGCACGACCTATTCACAACAGCACCTTTACATATTTATCCTCTATAAACACAGGTGTAGAGAGCGTACAATTTAAAATTTTTTGTTGAAAAATATGAATGATTCTTGATGGAAAGCAATGTATAGTTCTATTAATGATGCATTCCTTTGAAAATAAAAATAATTAACATTCTCTTAAAAAGACTGTAGCTGTGTAACTTCAAATGACCTAAAGGGAGTGGCCGGCAATGTATGGTGGTTGAACTGAGATTGTAGTATTATTGAGAAATTATTTAGTATCTCAAAATCATCTCTCCAAAGTGGACAATCAATGAGGATTTTAAATATTGAATTTGCGCTGAACAAATATGCAACGTAAAAACGTCTGATAGGTCTCAAATAAAATTTTTTCAATAATACTTTATTCTCAGATCAACTATCAGACATTGTCGGTCACTCCCTTTAAGATAATAAATAATTACCCATCAGGACACAAATGTTCTTTAATTTCTCCTTTAATATTGCACTCGAAATATCTAAACAAAATTAAATTTAAAATTATTTTTTAAAACATAAAATAATAAACATTTCCTTGTTTTGTTTACAATTAGAAATTTTTTTTGGTACACTTTGGTTCAAAAAGATTTTGTCTGTAAAAGTTTTTTTTGAAATCTATTAAAGAAACAGAAAAATCTGCAAAATTTTGCACTGTTTGTGATGTATTCTAAGAAAGTTGGTTGAATCTAAGCTAAATCAAAGTACAGTTAAAAAACTAACTTTATTACGAGAAAGATCGGGCCGCAAATATTGTGCCATTTAGTTTTGAGAAAGAAAAAGATGATCGAAAACCTATAAAACATAATTTTACTTATTTTCACTAATTAAATAATTAAACATAAAAATGGTAATAGTTTTATCTAAGGAAAAAATGTAATAGAATCATATTATATATGAAGATGTAATCTCTGTTTGTCTGATCATAACTCAGGAACCCCTGGACCTCGCATTTTGATTCTAACTTTTTTTCACCCCCTTCCCCTTCCGAACCCAGTATTTTCATAAGGTCATAATTTTTTTTCTTCATTAAACAAATGGTTCGGTTCAATAATCATTTGAACATATTTTTGGCTTCTAAACACTTCAAAACAAATGCATCAAGATCATATTTTAAAAAAAACCCTTTTTTTAATACTTTTTAATTATTTTAGAAGCTTTGATTTAAATGAATACGAAGATCATCTAAACTAATTTTTTCAATTTTTAATTTTGAAATTATACTTAAATCTTACTTGTCGCATTGTTCCTCATCTGGCTCAAAATAGCTGGCCTCTCTACACACAATCAATCAATCAATAACCTTTTTATACAATCGTCGTTATATCAATACAATGAAGACGACTTTGATTTTATTTTGATATTTAACAAGCTCCCAAAAAGCTTCTTTTTATTTTACTTGTAAACTTGTAAATTGAAAAAAAGCTTGTTTGAAATCAAAACTTAGACCGAAAAATCGTCTTTATTGTAATAATATAAACGCTGATTACTGTACTAAAGGAATTAAATTTACAAAATAGATAATAGATTTTTTTTTAAATAAAAAAAGTTTAAATATAAAAAACTAACAGATCTTATACTTCTTTTTATTCAGCCACTGACTGATTGGTTAATTGATTTAGATTTGATTGACTTATGTATTGTTGATTGACTGATTAATTGCTTGATTTACATTTGATTGACTTACGTATGGTTGATTGACTTATTTATGGTTGATTGACTGATTATTTGTTTGTTTTACATTTGATTGACTTATGCATGATTGATTGACTGATTAATTGTTTGATTTACATTTTTTGACTGATTTATTAATTGATTTTTTAAATCGCCAATTAATTGGTTGATTGATTGATTCCTGGGGGTGCACTCATAATCTTCCTCCTTTTCTTTCTCTCTTCATTTTCATTTTCATTTTTAATTTTCATTTATTATCCATTCATTTATCATTCATTTACATTCATTAATCATTTATTAACATTCATTTATCATTCATTTACATTCATTTATCATTCATTTATCATTCATTTATCATTCATTTATCATTCATTTATCATTCATTTATCATTCATTTACATTCATTTATCATTCATTTATCATTCATTTATCGTTCATTTATAATTCATTTGTCATTAATCCTCTCTTATCAGTTTTCATCATTCATCATTCACTTATCATTCATAAATTTTCTATTAAATTTGTCAGAGAAAATATTTTGTTAAAATAACTATTTAATAACACTGTTATTTTGGTTTGCAGTGTAAAGTAAAGGCTGTTTCTAGATTAAATAAGCTTTGAAACAAAGAAGTCAAAATATAAAGTTAATTTCAATTTTATTTTCATTTCAATGGAAAAAAATATTTT